TAAGAAGCCCTGGTGAAGGTATAAAAAAGGGAGAGTGTGGGGCTCACTCAGCAGAGGGGCAGTGAAGGAAGGCTGGACTCTGCCCCCAGGGAGCTTTCAGGCTGCTCCTCCCACTCCTCACACTTGAAAAGCCAAGGAAGATGCATTTATCAGCTGTCCTAAATACTGCTTTAACAAATTAGCATAAAAGCTAAATATACAATCCTTGAAAATTGTGAGAGTACTTACAATTGCAGTGGGCAAGCCAGCATCCACTTTGTCCTGGGGAAACAGGAGAACCCATGAGTGAGAGACAACTCCCAGATCATGCATGTCTAATAATAAGAACTACAACACACAAAAAATCAACACCAGCTGCATTTTAATGGCCCCACCAGGGCAGACAGAGCTGAGGGAACCACTGACTAGAAACACCCAGGAATAGAGAGGAAGCAGAACATCCCGTAATTCCATGTGAAAGTTACTGTGCTCCTCTCAAAGAGCCATGTGCCTGTTGGAGGCATTGAGCAAACCCAGTTCCAGCACCTCCAAGCACACTTTCATGTCATATGAACCTTTTCCACCAAGTTGCATGACATCTAGCAACACAAATCAGTGCTAAAAGTGACCCAGCACATCACTGCTGCAGCAAGTCAGCAAAGCCCTGATTCACTGCTGCCTAGAGACTACAGGAGAGTAGTGGCTGCCCCTAACATGGTGTTACACAGAACTAATAGTAGGGCCAGACAGGAGATCTCACACACACCCCAAAAGAGTTTCAAATTTTCCTTAGTGGAGGTGCCCAGAAGATGACACTTACTGCTGCAGACACTATTTGGGCAGAAATCCCTTTCAGGAGTGAGAGCCGGATCACTGATCCATGGAGTGAGAGAGAATCTGGGAGTTTTTTCTTCCTAAGGAATAAAGGAACAAACCAAAAAGCATTAGAGCAGAATAAAAGCTTGGAACTTTGCCTAACCCACAGCCAAGCCAGCAGGTAAATTCTGCATACACCTGTAACTCATGCAATTTCCATTCTTCCTCTGGGGGCCACAGAATGAGGTAAGACGAGATTATCAGCAAAGCCTGCTCTGCCCTGCTGTGCCTGCACACAGTTTGGTTTTAACTCATCTCCTGGAGAAAAAAAAAACCTGACTTCCCCAAACAAATGGTCAGTTTCAAGCACATATCTGCAAGCCTTAGAATTCACTAATACATCCTGAAAGAGCAACACTCTTTCAGTGAGTGAGGAAGTTTAAGCCTGCAAAGGTGAGTATGAAAAAATGCACAACTGGAAAAGCTCATTAGCAGAATACAGACCCATAGGAAAACTGGGTGTATGGTAAAGAACAGCCTTCAAATAACACACAGCTCACCTGATATGAAAGCTTAATATCTTAAGCTTAATAACAGAAGCTTATTAAGCTTCTGTTATTAAGCTTATTCTGTTATTAAGCTTAAGCTTAATAACAGAAGCTTAAGTGCTTCTGTTTATGGAGAAAATGTTTTTAAAAACTAACTAGTGCAGGATCAATTATTTCAAAACAGCTCTGGTGAACTCTAAAAGGCAGGACAGGGAAATTCCCCAGCAAAGCTGCAATTCTGTTGCCAGGCTCACACCACCAGAGTCAAATTCCCAAAACTACCAGGGAAACACTGGGTTCTTCTCCCTCCAGAGGTGCACAACCAAGCAGCTCCCACAGAGGTTCATCAAACATGTTGTCAGTAGCTGGTATTATGGCTAAGGACCCCTAACCATGGCAACCAGCCTTACCCAAAGGTGACAGAACACTTCCAGGTTCTTCTGCCTCACACTCTCTACTGGAAGAAGTTTAAGCAACTCCAGGTAGCATTTCTCTCAGTACAAACAATCTTACTTGTAAAAAGAAGGGACAGAGTCTGTACACCATCCTACACCAACATAAACCATCAGACTTCAGAGTGTTTCTATGCTGTGCAACTGCTCATGGCACACAGGGCAGCCATGGCAGTGGCTGAGGCCATCATTTGAGTAATTAACAGCACACATCAGTAGTATCAGAATTAATTATCCATATTAGATGTCATTATTAGCATATCCACTCACAGAAGGGACACCAGTTGCCTTTCACAAATACTCACCAGCTGCCTGCAGACCCTTTGAAACATTTCCTTTTGAGTCATCATGATTCAGTGCTTTAAAGATTGCATTAAAATTTGAAGAAATTTAACTAATCCATCTCCCATAAAATGTCACTATTGCTCAAACAGGCCAGCACCCTGTACAACTACAAATCCCATCTTTGCCTACATGATCCTGGAGGAATAACAGTGTCTTGTGAAAGAAGGAGGATTTGTTTCCAACAGATGTAAGCAAAACCCCTTCACAAATGGTTTGACCTCGCAGGGCACGAGGCTGCAGTACCTTTTCAGGTGTGTCCTGTCCCCACTGTCAGAGCTGGCCACAGAAGAGGTGTCATAGGAGTGTGTGTCTGTGTTATCAAGGTTCAAGAGAAAGGGATCCTCCAAAATGAAAGACTCTTCTTCATCATCAGTCTGGAGGGCAAGAATCACAGCTTGGTGAATGTTCAAAATGCACAACAGCATAACTGAAACACCAGCAAACAACATCAGTTCAGCAGGGAAATGGAGGAGGAGTGCACAGGAAAGCCTCCAATTTAAAACCCAGAACTATTTCTTACTTTACTGGGCTAATTCTGTGTAAGGTTTCCAGAACTGACAAAAATCACCAAAGTGGGCTGGAGAACAAGTCAACTAACCTTTCTTCCCCAAATATTTCATAGTCCATCAAAATTTTCACTGACCTTTGACAGAACTGTTTCCAAGTCTCCAAATCGCTACAAGAAGGCCTAGAAGGATCATCATCTACTCCAGCACTTCATCAAATGGCACTAAGAGCCCAGAAGTCCCCCCAGCTGCTACAAGAGTTGATTTTGCTCTTTTCTCAGCTCTTCTGTTTGCAATCTCTCTCTCCTTTCAGTCTTAGCCTGGAATTTTTTATTAAAGTTTTTCAAAAAGCCTTTCTCCCTGATGTGTTCTAAAAGCAGTGCAGCTCCTGTTGGTTTCTCAGCACAAAGCCAGAGGGAGCAAACACAACGCCCCAGCTATTCCAAACAAGCAGGGAGCAGAGCAGCTGCCCCTCATTTCACTTACACCTGGCAGCCCTGTGCTCATTAAGCAGCTCTTTCTGAACTGAAACTGATTGTCTTTTTGGCTCAGACAGATTGCCCTCTGCTAAAATCCATTTCAGAAAATGTTTTGCTTGTCATTCTCATCCTACGTTTATTGAGATACTGCAGTAAGACTTTGTCTGCACTGAACTATATTTTCTTCATTATTAGCTCTCCATTTTAAGACTTGGAATCTACTCCTCTAACATGGGTGTCACTGTGTGTCCTCACAGTTTGAGATGACACAACTTTACTAAACTTCCACTACTCAAGGCACCAGTGGAAAAAGGACATAGCTACCCCTACTTCTCCTCTTGTTTCTAGCCTGTCTCTGTTTGGGACACCTTATGTATGAAACGAACAACACAAATAAAGCTGTGAAGACTCTAGCTCTTATCTCCTCCCACAACTTCAGAACTACTCTGAATAATCTACAATTACTTTTAACTAGAAGCAGCTGTTTGGTGACCCTGACCTTTAATAGGCTGTCTAGACTTCAGGTGACTCTCTAGACCTACAGATGAATGTGCTTGGACTTGATGAAAACATTTTATGCTGCAGCTGTAGATATTTAAATTAAAAAAAAAATCCATATCACACACTGTAGAGCAATTACTCCACTGAGTATGCACCTGCTAGCTATCAGCATCAGGAAACCATGAAGCTGTACAATTTTGTTTTCCAGGAAAAACACAGTAAGAGCGGGGGGAAAAGGAGCATGTGCTGCCTCACCGGACTCCCCTGTCCGATGGCTCACTCACCTCATTTAGGATGCTCTCCAGCGTTGGAGGGGTATCAACTTGAGGAATGTCGAATTCTTTGTCGTCAATCTGTACATCAGAAACCACAGCCTGACTTTGGGCTGCCTACTCCGCCTTCCAAACCGTAATTAAAGCCACATAAAAGGCAGCTACGCACACACGCCTCTGCCGGAAAGAAGCAGAGAGCTCCGAGGGCAGGCTCACACACAGCTGGCTGAGTGAGGATAATATTTCCTTCTTGGAGTCTGTGTGAGACTTATTTCCAGAAACAGTCATAGAATACTTCTGATGTTCTAAGAATAAACACGCTATTGCATTATAAAGGGTTTTGCAGCAAGAGTGAAATTAAACGACTGACACTGTACCTGCTACATAAGGCACCTGCCATACAGAACTTTGGGGGTTTTTGATTTTTTTTCCTATATATACGGTGAAGCACGCGAAATTTATGTAAATAACAGTGTCACCATATAGGAAGCGGCACAGAACAAACTGAGACGCCCCCGCCGAGCCTCCCTCCCTCCCGGGTTCCTGAGAGGCCCGGCCCTCCCCCGCGGAGTGTGAGGGGAGCCGCCGGCTCTCCTTCCCTCCCTCCCGGGCCGTGTGAGGGCACCGGCCGTCCCCGCGGTGCCTCAGGGAGCCTCCGCAGGGACCCTCCCTCAGCGCACCCTCGGCCCTGCGGGGAGCGCCCGGGCAGGCACAACCTCCGCGGCCCGGCCGTGCCCCCTCCGCGGCGCTTCGGGACGCACCAGCTCGCTGCGAGAGTCCAGCTCACGGTCGAGCTCCGCCACGCTCAGCCGGTGCGCGGGCGGCTCCGGGCACGGCTCGGCCTCAGCTGGCTCCAGGGCCGCGGCCATGGCCGGGCCGGCTCCGGCGGGACTCGAACCCGCGACCCGAGCCTCCTCCCCACGCAGCCGCAGCGCGGCGGGGCCGCCCCCGCCCAGCCTTAAAGGGGCCGCGCGCCGCAGGCGGGGACCGGGGGCTGCCGAGGGACACCAAGGACACAGAACCGGTGCTGCTGCCGCAGGAAAACCTTGTATTTATTGAAAAAGCACGGATCTGCTCCACGGCTGCAGTTGTCATCCCGGACCCGATGGGTGCGTCAGCCTCCGAGGGAAGAAAATGAAGGAAATTAACAATAGGCGCAGAAAGGAGAGGCAGAGACCAATATCCCCCACGCCCCTTCATCCCATGGTGCTTCAGGTAAAGCCAGAAGCGTTTTGCTTCGATTTCCGATCTTCTGGAGCCTAAAATTTGGTGTGGACAGGGCCAAGATAGAGCATTGTCCCAGCAAAGCCAAAGAAAAAATTTTCCTTTTAGGAGAAAATGCAAAAGCCTTTGGAAATTCGTGGCCAATTTTAGACAAGGCAGGAGATGGTGTAAGCAGATTTGGAGCCCAAGCATTTGTGTTTTCTTTTAAAACCACCTGAAAACAGAAAGCCATGTGGGGTCTCCAAGGGCAGGGTGGGGGCAAATGTAAGATAAAACACATTGGAAAGATAAATACCCCCAGTTTCACAATACCAGGCACCCAAATATGGGTATGTTTCAAGGTGACTCTCCCCGTGTGCCCAGGTGGAATGGCCCCTCTGGTGTCCCAGCAGCAGCTGGATCTCTGCTGGAGGTTCCAGCTTTTAAAGATTCCAACTCAAGGCACAGAGAACATCCTACACCTGTGCCTTGCCTTACCTGTTAGTCCTCCCCGTTGCTCCTCCTGAAGGGGAGCTGTGCTTCCCTGCTCTCTGGAGAAGGCTCTGTCTGGCACCTGGCAGCAAGAGCACATGGATGGGACAGGAACACCCCACACCTCCCCTCCAGGTGAGCCTGTGCCAGGCAGGGCCCCACGTCCCAGCTGCCCCTGAGCAGGAGCAGCCCAGCCCTCCTGCTGTCCTGGGCCAGGCCAGCTCCCAGGGACAGCAGAGGCTCTGCCTGTCCAGGGTCACCTGCTGAGCTCTCAGTCAGTGCACAGCAAGAGCTGGGGGAAAAGCATTCCCAGGAGCAGGCCAGCAACATCAGCAGAGAGCTGCAGGCTTTAGAGATGCCTTAGGAACAGCAGCTCACACAGAGGTGAGACAGTTCTGCTCCTGAGAATGTCATTACTTTAGACCACACACACAAAGCCAGTGCACATCTACAGGTGTTTGAAGCTTCAGTGGCCCATTACCACCACAGGCTCTCCTCCGTGGAATCCCTTCCTTTCCCCTGCCAGCTGTTTCAGGATGGTCTTCTGCAGCAAGGGTGCATCTGCTCCTCTTACAACAGCCACTAATTCTCCTCCCTGGAAGGTGTGGAAAGCAAATCAGTCAGCAAGCTCAGGTTGTGTTCTCTGGGCTCTGGAATTCCCCACAGCAGCACATCACCCACACTATATATATGTATCCTCCTCCCCTCAGAGCTGCTCTGCTCCATAGCAAGAGGGAAACCTTGGAACAGCCTGCTTTGTGCCTCCTCATCAATCTCAGGATGAAGCAATGCAGATTGTGAGAGTTGTGAGCTCCTGCAGAAGCAGCAGGCTGAACCTAAAGGCTCCACAGGGCAGCACACTGGCTGTATATTCTTATCCGCACAGCATTTGATTACCAGCAGATACAGAGCAAATAAAATTGTTCCATAACACATTAAAGAAATAAAACATCCTCCCCAAAGGACCATTGTTCCCACCAGCAGGTCACATGTATTGCTATGCAACCACTGGGAAAATATTTTCACTCACTGTATAAAAGAGAAAGACAGGCTCACATTGTCCTCTGTATTTTTCCAGAGCATCAATGGAATCAACTTCAGCCTAAAGGGAATGTAAAATAAAATAGGTGTTTCTAGAAGAGCATTTCTGCTCCAGAGGGATGCACACATGAGTGCCTGGACTCAAACACCCTCAGCTGGCTGGAACTCACCCCCCACACACAGGAAAACACATCTGGGCCCCAGACTTAGGGGACAAAATGACACTGGTCAGAAGCAGGGGCACAGCCAGCTCACTTCAGAGCCTGAAACTTTTCTATTTCCTTGGACCTTTCCCTGCTGCAGCTTATCCCATTATCTCATGTCCTGCTGCTGTGTTTCCCTGACAGACATCAGTCTCTGCCTTCTCCATCCTCCCCCCACTGGATATCTGTCCCTTTTCCTCTCCAGGGCAGATCCAAATCCAGCTCCTTCAAATCCAGCTCTCTCAAATCCAGCTCCTTCAGCCTCTCCCTGAACATCAGAGGCAATGTGTTAATGCCTCTGTCTAATGTAACTTGCTTAAGTAGAAATCTAGAAAGCATAGAGCAGTTGAAGCCTTAAAATCCTTAATTTATAAATTCTTATAGATACATCCAAGCCCCTATATGTGACAGGTTCACTCCCAGCAGCTGCAACTCCTGCAGTGCTATGGTTTGGGCAAAATATTGGAAAGGGAAGTGATTTCAGCCCTTGGACCTCAGCTGATTTCAGAGGACTAGGTATTTCAAGCAGTGCCAAGTGAGATCTTACCACAGCAAAATGCAGGAGATCACTGCCAACTTCATTCTTGATTTTTTGGAACAGATTCACTACTGGTTTGCATGGGCCACACCAGGCTTGATACACATCAACAACTGCAAGCAGGAAAATGGGTCAGAAGGAGACATAAATGGGTCAGGTTAGACACAGACCAATAGACCACGTGCTAGAAGGGCTGGATTCAGCTCTGAACTGGAAACCCTTGCAAGGTTTGAAATGCTGCATCAGAGGACAGAATTACATTACAAAATAACAAGCTGAGAATGATGTGAAGGAGTCTTAAGTAGAAACATGGACATGGCTGTGACCTTGGACATAGCAGACTTCCCAGGGAAAACTGCTGCACAGAGATAGAGCACATGAGGTTCTCCCAAGACCCTTGGGAGCCAGGGTTGTGGCTTGTCCTTGTGCTGGGGACAGTCCTGTTCCAAGCAGTGGAGACTGCACCAGTACTGCTTGGATTGCAGGATGATTGTCCCACATAAATGAATGTCCCACAACCTCCTGCTGATCTCAACTTGGTTAGAATATTTTTTTCTTCCATTCAGGGTAAGGGGAATGGAGAGACTGACTAAACACCCTTAACACCAAGTAATTCCTAGCAGTCCTGGCATCCTTTGAACACAGAACAAGAGCAATTCAGTGTGCTGACCAAACCCCTTACCAATGAGTCCTTTGAGACACAGCACTTCTTCCCAAAGCTCCTGGCTAGTAATGTTAATCTGTGTAGAAAATTGAAAAACACAGTAAAAGCCACAGTAACTCATCAGGTACTCCCAGCTGCTGCAAACATATTGACAAATCACTCCAGAGGGACACACCTGCCTCAAGAGGCATTACCTGAGCACTCAGGAAACTCCTCTGGCTGTGGTTCTCTCACCTCTGACCAGCTGTTCAGGATGTCTCCCAAGGTCCAAGGAAAGGCAGAGGGAAAGGGCAGCAGCATCCAGCCAAGGGCAAGTCCTCCCCTGTTTAGTGGCACTGCTGGAACAGTGGCTGCCTGGGGGTCCCAGACTCAGTTTGCAGAGGGTTGTTCTGGGGGTTGGCTGGGGCTCCAAACTGGGATCCCAGACCCACAGCCCCCTGTCAGGATCTCCATCTGCCTGCCCAGGGTTCCAGTTAACCACACCTCATTCAGGCCCAGTCCTCACAGGCTCTATGAACCACCTGATTCTCTAGCAGAAGTTTCTCACCTTGCCTGCACACAAACTTCACTATTTGAGATGTTTCAACCTTGATGAACTAAACTAGCAAATACAGAATTTCCATGATGTGTGGGCATTAGAGGGTGGTCTGAACCCAGCATGTTCTTACCTGAATTCCCTGCTGTTACCTAAAGACTTGGAAAGCACAGTGAGCAGAGAACACAAAGTTCTAGGCTGGGAGGGCCTGTGGAGTCCTTCATCTAATCTCCTGCACAAAACTCAGCATTGGATCAGCTTGCTCAGGGATTGACCCTGTCAAGGATGCCCTAGACCATTCCACACACAGCACCACCCATTCTATTATCCCACACTCCCAATACTGTTATTAGAAAGGATATAATCCTTTGCATTTTCCCCATTTTACAGGACTTGCCCTTCAGGATGTACTGAGAAAAACACAGGAAATTAAAATAAAAAAGGCTTCTGGAGAAATGCAAGATCTGGTTTTGTTCATCCTGAACAATGAAGATTCCTGATTCCTTCCTCAGTGGGTATCATCAACCCCAGCTACATTGAGACTGCAGTGGAAGACAGCAACTTGCATCAAGGCCAGCTATTTCACAATAATTAACACAAATAGGCATTAAAGGGCTGCTAAAATCTCACAACCAAGAATTGCAAGAGGGGAAACTCCAGTGCAGATGAAATGCCCTCTCCCAGGTGTTCAGAGCTGTGTCACTGGGGGTCACAGAGGGCAGTTTCTCCAGGGCCTTGTCTCACTCAGGGAACAGGGAGCTGTTCAGACACCTCTGTTTATTTGCCTGTTCAGAACATGACCCCAAGCTTTGTTTTCTCAGAGAACACCTGCAGAACTACAACATTTAATTATTTAATCCTAATGCTGGGACCACCCTCAGAGTGTTCCACAGAATGCTAACGAGTCTAAATGATTCATGACAGTATTTTGTGATAATGAATTTGGCCATAAGTTTAAATGCTGGCACTCTTCAAGGTGCTTTGCTAATCTGGATGTCCTGAGGCTTCTTGGACTTGGCTTTTCTCTAACAAAAGCAGATCCCTTCCAGGACATCCCCTCATGTCCTACACAGGTTCAGCTTTCATCTGCAGATGTAGACTCAGATTTCCCTTCACTGCCAATGCAGCGCAGTCTAGTTGATGTCAACTTCCCCGTCCCACAGGAACACAGCTGGACCAGCAGCAACAGAAACTATTCCTACCTTCATACAGTGCCCCTCTTTCCTTGTTACACATGGTCACATTTCCCTGTTTAAACAGTGAAGAAACAAGATCACAGAGCCCACAATATCTTTCATTATTTCTCTCTTGTGAAGACTGAACTGCTCTCAAAATTTGAAGCAGACCTGCTGAACCCTTTTTTGCTTTTCAATATTTTTGTTGTGAGAGAGTTTTGAACTGCTCTTAGAACCCCCTTCTCCCCATGCAGTAGTTATAAAGCATCACTAGGTCACCTGTGCAGCGTAAACAGGAAAAATTCCTTTATACATCACTGTGAAAATAGATTGTTCAGCCTTTGAGTCCTTGTACCTTCTGGCTTTTCTACCTTTACAGCAATCTGTTTGAATATGTGACCTGGTGAGAAATGTCCAGTAATTCTTGCCATCCAGGACATGTGCCAACCTCAGTTCTCTACTCCTGAATGTCCTCTGAGCTATTATCTCACAAAACAGAGGTATTTTGGTCTCTGACTGCAACCAAACCTGTGCTGGGCCCCAACAGCCCCAAACACAACCTGCAGCCCTGCAGCAGCTCCCTCTGCCCCCCAGAGCCCTGACTGGGGACACGTGTGACCTGCCAGGTCCTCCCACACATCCCATCTGCCTCCAGGGACGCCTCTTCCCCACAAGGACCTCACAGTGGGACTTTGCCAGCAGAATCTGAGATACCCCAAGACTGAACTCCATCTTTTGCACTTACTGAGAGTCTACAAGGTCTGCTAAAGGCCTGGCTACTACTGACCTGCAGCACTACCTCCTTTTTCTTTGCAGCCATCCTTCTTCAGGAACAAGGTCCTTTGAGCAGCTGTCCCAAGCACAAAGTGCTACAGATGGCTTCTAATCACCTGGATCCGAGTGCTGGCCAGCCTGCACCACAGAGAGAGCTTTGTACCTGGCTCTGCTGCTCCAGCCTGGGCACAGCCCCCACAGCAGAGCTGCAGTGCCCCAAACCTGGACTCACCTTTGCTCACACCTCCTCCAAGAGCTGAGGTGCTGCTGCAGGGCCTGAACTGCAGCTCCCTTCCAGGCCTTGTGCAGCAGCTGGCAGGATCCCAAGGCTGCCGTGGCAGCGCTGGCATTGCCAGGGCAGCGTCAGCCCAGCCCAGCTCCCTCCCTCCCCCAGTGCTGCCTGCAGCTCCATCTCCCCTGGGACTCCTGGAGCAGCAGCTGCAGGTGGAGCCTTTCTGCCTCCTGGGCCTGCCTCACCTGCCCAGCACCCCCAGCCCAACACTCACCCTCCACTCCAGTCTTCCCACACCTCTCTCCTAAACTGGGGGCTCAAAGCAAGGCATGGAGCCAGCTGTGACCTCGCAGCACTGAGCAAGGGTGTCCCTGTCAGAAGCTCAGGTTGTGGAGGTTTGTGGTTTTCTTTTCCTCTCTGCAGTGAGAGCAGTGCCAGTGCCCAGCACCCCTGGTGATGCTGTTTAAGCAGCTCTTTATGCTTTTACCCCACCCCTTCCCACACCTGGGCACACTGCGCTGCAGGGGCACACCTTGGAGCTGCTTCTTGTCACACAGCACACGATGCCTGCTGGCCTGGTCCTCCAGCTGCTCACCATCCTCCTGGCTGAGGATGCAGGTTTTGGTGCATCAAGGCCCTCAGAATGTCTCTTTTTGTGGCAATCAGCCTGCAGAAAAGCCCTGATGATTTTGACCACCACTTCCAAACTGATGGCTCTTGTGCTCACATTTCAGGATTACCAAAAAAAGCCCTTTTAAAACCATTTTTTACGCCTCAAGAACCTAATATCTCAGGCACCTCAATTACTCCCCTGCCTGCTGTGTCACTGCTTCAGCAGTTTTGTGGAGGCACAGCATCCACAGCAATAGGTAAAGTCTGTAAATTTTAAAAAGTAAGAAACGTTTGTGTTTAGAATATCCTGGCACAAGCTGCTTTACACAGGTTACTTGGCTTCTTTCACTGCCACAATGCAAAGCTGTGACTGCAACAACAGCCACAAGATGTTTTATTTGATTTCTTGTGTGGGAAAGACAGTCCAAACGTGGAATGAAAGTGGTGGGAGAGCCAAGGGTACCATTGTCTGACAGCTGGTGTCCCAAATGCCCTGCTCAACTTCACTCTGTAGCAATGTGTAACCTCTGAAAGGAGGACTCCCATCAGGAGACCAATTGATAAAGAGAGGACATACTTATCAACATCCATCAGAATGGCTTTTCAGCAGAGAAATGGCCCAAGAACAGCAGAAATCCTGGTGATTCATATAATGTCCAGACAAACTTTGCTTTGGTTTTGTAAGCAATCCTGGAATTCACAAGCTGCTGCTACCTCATTAAGCTGGGAAAGCTCTGGGTGACCAGGAAAGTCTGTCCCACTGTGACTCTCGGGCTGTAGAGAAGCTGACATAGAAAGCTCATATTTCTTCAGGAAGCTGAGAAAAATCTAGATGTTCTGGTAAAGTTCTTTTTATTTACAGTATTCTTCTTTTTGTACATACCTATAGCAACATCAAAAATTATTCACAAAGTTTAACTGAATGTAAAAATGTTCTCATTCAACAGTTTGTCCTCTTTATACCTGTGGAAAACGTCAGCTGTTCTCATGCAGCAACAAGATTGTCTGAGCATTGGTTTTCAGTTTTTTCTGGCAGAATTTTAGGAAACCATCTCAAAAATTGTACAGAGATACTTTTACTCACCTTTTTTCTGAACACCTGTAGGCACCAAAGTTCTATAGAAGCAAACTCACATTTGCTTTCAGCAATGTGAGTTGGGGAAGGATGAGAAGAGATACGTAAGAACTCAAGCTCCTAAACACAGACAGGAGTGCAAATGGAGCAGGGAGATGCCCACTGGACAGTTTTGCATTTACAATAACTGCCTCAACTTTTTTCTCAGTTCAGGCAAAAATATATTTGATTAAATTTTATAAACAAGACTTTGCTTCTGAGGTACTGAGATTCAACAACTTCTCACATATTTTTACTTTTCCTTTTGTTCAACCCCCAAAGTCTATCATGAAACATGTGCAGAAGGACATTAAAAACTGCCAGTCACTTACTGCAATGCCTGGGGGGAAAGTGTCAGGTGCTCACTTTTATTTGTCTTTGAAGTGGAAGAAGTTACATGAAATGCAGATATTCTCCTTTGCAACCAAGTGATAACAGTTATCTGATATACAGCACATTCAAGTTCCAGGCCAAACTGTGGTCGCATTTTCTGACACAAAGAGTTACCTTGGAAAAAAAGTAAGGCTGTCATCACAATTTGACCTTCTGATTAGAAATAAAAGCTTTAGATAATTATCAAAATTGGTTAGCAAAGTTACAGACTTCTCTTCTTGCTGCAGCCTTCCTGAAGCTCAATGTAAGAGAAGAAGGATTTGGTTTAAGACATTGGCTGCAAACTCCAGTGTCTGTTAGTGCTATGTAAATACAGTGTCTGGAGAGTCTGACTATGAACTATGGTCTAAACTGAAAGCAGAAAGGAGACCTGGGCAGAGTCAGAGCCCTGAACTGCTTGAGGGCTCTGCCATTCCAGCCTGACCTCACACAGCCCCCTTCACTTGCACTCGTGTTTCCCCCTGCTCACTTGCAAGCACCATTTCAGGAACATCTGGACAGTCCAGGCTTCTGGATGCAGTCACACCCCACCAATTATCCAGCAATCTAAATCCATGCATGTGTGTATAGCTGCATATATACAGAAAATCTGGAGCAACATTACTGAGTATAAAACAAAACAGAACCCTCAGTTTTTCCATCCCTTCCCCAACTTAATGCACCCAGTTGATCATTTGTGGAAACAATTTGGAAGTCACTTAACTATTTGTGAAGATAAAGGATGCAAAACAAAAGCAATCCCTTAATCCTGCTTGCCAGCTCTTTCCAGTCTCTGGAAGGTGTAACTTCTGCAACACACTGTTTGCTCCACTGATATCAGTGATCAGCAAATCCTTCTGACCATGAATAAGCCAATCCTTCAGCAATTAGCTGAGCAAGTTCCTGGCTGGCAAAGCAAGAGCTTATTCCTGCTGATCTTGCAGCCACCTGCTCCTTTCTGAAAAGCATCAGTCATGCTAACCCTGAAGTATGAGCTTGTTTTCTAAAATTGCAAAGAAACCCAAACCCAGTCCAGCTGGCCCATTCCATGGATTTGAGCATGTCATGGACACCAGGTGACCTTGTATTGTGGCAAAGAACTCTTGGACTTTGTCAGTACAGAATGTGCTGCTTGGAATTTGGAGTCTATTGTCTCCCTCTATTTTTCTCTTTAAAAACAAAGTATAATGTAAGTTAAGCTGAAGTTCAGAAATGCATATATTTTACTTAAAAACATTCATCTCTTCAAAATTCAAAATAAACTTTATGGGATACAACAGTTTGGTTTTTTTTTTTTAAATAACATTTCATTCAAACGGTATATAATTCATTGAAGTATTCGTACAGCAAACAATGGTTAACCCTTGAAAACCTGTAGAAAAAGATTTTCACACAAAAAAAAAAGGAAAACCAAAAGTGAGGTCTCACACCCACACACTCAGCCCAGCACACACACGCACTCGAGCACCCACGCACCCACACAAGGCTGCAGCAAAAGCAGAGAATTGGAGGCCCAAAAGGAAAACGATGACTGATTGTTCTATCTGAGAGTCCAGGTAGCTCAGGAAAAAAAACCCCAAAAAACCAAAACAACCCCCCCACCCCGAGTCCTCTGAGTAAAGAAACTACCTCAAGAAAATTCTCAAGTGCACCGGAGACCTGATCATTCGAACTGTTTCTGCAAAGCAGCTCCCTGCACCTGAGAAAAATGCAGCCCAAGGTGACTTGTGCAAATATAAGGAGTCAGGAGTATCTCCTGCTATTCCTTAAGTAGACATGAGGGGTGTCCATAGTTTCAATTAGTCTTTGATCATGCAAGGTACTGCTGGAGTGCTGTCTTCGCCCTGCAAGAAAGAACAACCCATTAATTACAGGAACCTGGCTTCAGCAGCAGCAGCAGCTTCATGGGCAGGCTCAGAGTGTGCCAGCAGAGAGGGAGGGAGGATGGCTGAGGAAAAGGCTCCCTCACTTTGGAAGGATCTGGCCCGTGGTGCAGAAATGCTCTGTGGGGGTTGTAACTGTTAAAGAACCCCCCTGGCATCCAAGGATAACCTGATCCAGCCAAGGGCACTGGATCCCAGCACAAACTGAGGCACTCCCAGCATGGTGGGGCTTGGGAGGTGTGCTACACACACCCTCCAAAATCCCACAGGAGCAGGCACTGAAGAGCAATTGCTTTCTGTAATGCAGGTGTACCATGAAAAGCAGGTCTTTGAGCTGAGAAATCAAGGAGGGTCAACTCAGAATATACTAGAGGCACATTAGTCCTGTCAGGAATCCTGTAGGAGTCCTGGTCCCACCAAAAGCATACAGTGAGGTGAGTGGGAGGAAGGAGCCAGTCTAATAATGCAATTGATGTAATCTAATATTGCACAACATTTTTGTTACAACAAAAACACCTCCCACCACTCTAGGGTTACAATTCCATCATCACATGGGCTAATTCTGAGTTTCCTCCCATCTGAAGTGAGACACTTTGCTCTTCCTTTGTCCCCCACAGCTCCCAACCTGCTACCACAACCTTAACAGACTTTTCCAGGACCTGATACAGCTCATCAACATGGACGAAGATTATTTATAAATTATTTATTTGTTTCTTCCCAGCTTCCTGCTGTGATCACAAGCCATAATAGCTCATGGGGGGGCGGGTGTGGCAGCAGTGGGATATCAAAATGTTCCTGATTATCATTTTCAGTGCTAATACTTTGGCATAGATTTTAAGATGAGAAGCCCTAACTTTACTTCAAAGATGTCTAAGAACACTAGAACATCTTTCATAAAACCAAGAATACCAAATTCAATGCATTTCAAAAACAACTGCACTGTTTTGAGTTGTGCTGTCTGTATGTGACATCTTTCAAAGATCAGATTTTCTCCTTTATGGGCTGTTGCTAACTGTAGGTGGGATAATTGCAAAAGGTCAACATAAAACCCCAGAAATTGTCAGTAACTGTTTTGGTTTCACACAGGTTTGGGAAGCAGCCAGATGATCTGTGTGGATACTAACACAGGTAACAGCACAGGTGTGTGCAAAGTTACTGTTGGGCATTATTAGTTAAAAATAATTTAACAGCTTGTATTATCTTCATACTCACTTGTCACACAGATTGGGATCTGAGGACTGACTCAGTTTGTGTAGAATATCCACCACTCCCATGTCTCGGAGTTTGTCCTGGCGCTCCTGTGAACCTGCAACAACAACAACAACCCAGTGCTGGGAGTGGCACCAGCCCCAGGGGCTGCAGGGAGCAGGAAGCAGCTAAAGGAGGGGTGAGGAGCAATGTCCAGCCACAGCACAGCCATGGAAACACTCCCTCAAACTCCCCAGGGAGCTCCAGCTTCTTTTGCTGTGCTCTGTGTTTGGAGCCAAGAACATCTTGAAGGCAAAAATCTTTATCCTAAGGTATCCTGACTTCAGCTGTTTCATTCTCATCTCTGATCTCACAGGATTTGGATGCAGAGAACATTCCCCTGGAGGTGTTTCTGAGCCTCACTTTTGCCCTCTCCTCCTCTCACCATATTCACTTGAGCAGCACCATCCTTCAGCCCCCTCCTGGTAACCTCCCACTCTGCCAGGCCATGACTTCTCACCAAATGCCTTATCCACTGCTCCCAGTTTCACTCACAAGTCCTTTAGCTGGTTTTGGCTCAAGCCACTCATTTGGCCCAACCATACTGTGGAAAATTTCATTGCCAGAAATCCCCTTCTAATCCATTTATTCTCTCCTGAACCTGTGAACCTGTTCCCTCAAAAAATGAGTTTCCACAGCCCCTTTAGGATCTGGAAGCTCTTACAAGAATTCTCTTTTGCTCCAGTTGTATAGAGACTTCAGAGAAATGCTACAGGTGAAAACCTCCCCTGTGTCTCTCCAGCTCCTGTTTATTGTCACTGTGTCCTTGTGTCTCCCCCAGAGAGCTCTCTGCATCCTCCTCATGTCTCCTGACCACTCCCACAATCCATACTACACCTAAAATGATGTTTCCCATTACACTTTGGATCCCAATGCACTGTGCACTGCAAATATTGCTATTCAACAAAAGCTTTTTGATCAGGATAGTAACTTGTCTATGCATTAATAAGGAGGGTTTCTTACCTTCCTCTTCATTCCATATGAGATTAGATATACAGAACATGGCAGCAAGCTGTAGTTTAGCATTTGAATGACTCTAAATATAGAAAAAGAGAACTCAAGTTTAGAAGAAGAAATTCAGAAATTCACAATACTTGTATTTTGGCATTCATTATGTAATAAATAAGATAGAAAAGCTGGGATTAATTCTTATCTACAACTTCTCTCAAACACAGGGTGATAATATAAGGCACTTGAGTAGTGGTCAATCACTTCCTTCCAAATGTTTACTGACATCTTCAATATATGCCTTTTCCAAGTTCATTAAATGTTTTCTATGTAGATGAAGTCACTGTAATGTTTTTACAGGAAATAACCCTTGGATTTTCGTTTTAGTCAGTTCCTCTGTAGACCTCTGCCATCCAGAACTGCACTTACACCCCACTGGTTATATGGAAATTAAATTCATGAGTGAGTAATTCACAAAACAAAATCCTAAAGCACTTTCCTCTTTTCAGTCCTGCAAAAGACCAATACAAATCCTTTAAGAGAAATCCCCCTTACCATGTAGTATTTGATTTTCTGCAGGATGTCATCGTTGGTCATAATCAGTTCTTTTGCTGTTGTGCCATCTGCTATATTGGCAAGGATACACAATGTCTGAAAGAGAGAAAAACTGGGAAGTTATTTGGCCCCAGATCACATCCCATGACAGCTTCTCTGACAGCTCTGAACTTGGGACAAACAACTCCTTTAATTAGTTTTAATATCTTTAATCTGGAGTTTCCAGCTTGCTCACATCTAGGGCCAATGCCAAGGAGTCACCAGCTGTGGGGAGCAGCCCTGGCCAAAAACATTCATCACCATTTTAAAATGAAGAGCAGCACTCATCAATTCATTGCCAGGAAAACCATTTTAAGTCTCTTATGGAAATCTGCAACATATAGGAAAGAAAACATGCCCCAGAATATAAAGCAGTCTGTTCTGTAGCAGTGGCTGGGGGGAAAGGAAAAACAACAAAGCCCAACCATTTCCACCTCGTTCTGAAGGCCAGGAAAAGGTGAGACAGAGGCATTCCTGCTGATCTGGCAGAGCAGTCATTTGTTTTCAGCAAGTCTAATCACAGCTGTCACCTGCAGAGTTAACTCCAGCTACTTCTGCAGCTGTTTTATTTCTTTAAAATTACAGAAGCCATCCCACAGGATGCCCTTGAAGCACCCTGGCCCATCACTGGCACTACCTGCACAGAGCTTTGAGTGGCACAGCCCCTTCCCTGGCTCTCAGGGTCACCAGGAGATGCTCCATAGGCTCCTTCCCAAAGAACTTGACCATCTTTTCTGGACATGCTGGGAGGACACTGGAGCAGGATCAGCACTCGTATGTGCTTGTGTCTAAGCTGCACTGCACTGTGTCAGCAGCTGCAGAATCTAATTACTTCCAAGCTGCTAATTACATCCTGATGAGGCTGGCAGTGACAGACACAATCACTGTCCTGCTGCAAGCAGGGGTTCTGGTGTGCAGACAGGTACTACTGGATCTTGAAATAAGAGCCAGCTGCACCACAGGAACCAAGGAAATGCTCAGTGGATATATGCCCCAAACTCCAAAACCCATATTCAGCCCCAGCCCTTTCCCAAGTGTCCTGGTTCTCCTGTGAAAGAATTCAGATAGGTTTGGCAAAGTGAATAACCTACAGCAATAAAGGCCATTCCTGTCACCACAGCTTTAGCAGGAAAAGAAAAGATGGGGTTAATTCTTCTAGACACATGGGGTTAATTCTCAGTTGTTTCAGACCCGTTGTGTCACTAAACTTGCTAGCAAGAGTCTTTGGGGATTTTTTTTGCTAATTTTGCACTTAAATTGCCAAAGGATGCCTGTTGCCCTTCAGCTTGTTCTTCCCTGAGCAGGGATTTAGACCAGCTCTACTCCTACACTCATTTCCCCTGCTGTTGGCTACCCATATCCAACCTAAGCCAAAGCAATCCTCTGGCATTACCCACAGCTCCTTGCTGCCCCCATCCTTCCACACACCCCATATGAGGAAGGAACACAGTTCTCCCACTACCTGTCTTGCCTGGCACAAGAGTTATCCAGCCAAATCCTGCTCAGCTATCCTCTAGCTGCTGCTTTACACCCCCACAGCAGCTGTCCTTGTATATTGGCTCCAGGATGCCATTCCCTGCTGGCCATCTCCTCTTTCCCTCTACCTTTCCCCTTCCAGATTGGGTTTTTTTTAACTTTTAATTTGGCAGGCCAGGTCCCTCCCCACTTTTTCCTGGGCTCCACCAGGATGCTCCTTCTCCTGCTAGTGCTTCTCTTCTATTCCTACTGATCCCTTCCAGCCATGCAACAGCCCCAATTTAATTCTTCTGCTCTCACATCCCTCTTCTCTTTGCCAAACCTACATTTGCAAAACCAATCTGAATTCAGTTCAAACAATTTTGTAACAATCCATTAGAAAGAAAAACATTCTTGTAGGTACTCAAGTTATTCATCTGACAGATCTCAGTAAAATAGTCACAGCACATTAGAATCCCAAACAAAAATGACATGTTGTGAAGAGTAAGCATTCTTTGCTCTTATATTTTATTCTGCCAAGACAACACAAAACACAAAAGGTACCTGCTCTTTGACTTCTATATTGTGCTCCCCTTCCAGAATGAGGGTCACTGCTTGCATGATTTGCTTCCCATGAGTGCTCATTATGTGGTCTATGTGCTGCCAAAGCAAGGATGAAATACATTTAGTGTAACTCCCCAGACAAGGAAGGGACATTCCTGCTTGAATCACTCCAAGTGAGGAGTAGCAACGCTACACACAGAGCACTGCTCCCAAACCAAGAATTAATCACAGCACAAACAGTTCAGAACATTCTTCTTCATGTGGAGCCTGCTTTTGTCTGAGAGATCATCACATGAGCCTTGGTGATGCTTTCCCTGTTGCCTGGAGAGGTGACACTGCTGTCCCAGCTGCCAGGCTGAGGCCTGAGCCCTGCTGACCCACGCTCTAGATGTGTGATCTGCAGTTGGAAACAACCACCTCCCTTCTGATAACTGGGGTAATATCAGAGAGGAATGAGAAAACTGATGTTTCTTCTCTGGTATTTGCTACTCTTGCAGGGACACTGTGCCCAGATCCAACAACCACATTTCCAAAGCCTTAGAGGGCAGAGAAATAAGCCAGATGCATTGGTTATTGTCTGAGAAACTGCCCTAAGTTCACAGGGTCACAGCTCAAAGGTCACCTGATGACAGACTATGAACACCTACACTAGAATAACAGAGAAAAGATTAAACAAGATCTACTGGATTAGTTGATACCAAACACCTCAGGAGTGGCAGCAAACAGGCACCAGAGATGACCAGCACATGGCACACTACAATTCTTTTAAGACCTCAGGGATTATTGTAGAACTTACTAAATTTGCTAATAATGGGATTTCATTGGAAAGCTGCTGGATGAGTTATTCTGGAGTGAATTTTGGGTAAAGGCTGAAAATGGCTGGTTCTGGCTTTAAAACCTGCCATAGGAAGCAGTGAAGCTGGCACATAGCTCCAGATGGAGAACACCTTAAATGACAGTGAGAGTTCTCAGGGTGAATTCAATGAATGACAGGCTATTAAGTATTTTTTCACATTAATACAGAGCTAATTTTCTATCAAGGTTATTGAGACTCAATGAATGAGAATATCAGAAGATTTTTTACAGTGACCTTTTTCTGGTAGAAACACAGTGTGTGATAAATGCACAGAGAGGCCTCATGGGGTTTCCCCTCAAAAATGTTGGCTTGCCAAATTCTTGCTGCATATTTTTCCTCTGTTCTTCACAGGGAATTACCCCTTTCTTTTCCTCCATGACTATCTCTTTCTCCTGATCAAAAACAACTCCTGGACTTAAATTTTCTAACCATTTTATTTCAGGGTGTAAAATGAACGTCTGCATTTTGTGAGTGCACAGTCTTACACCAAATTCACAAAGCCAGTACTACCTATGTAGATGGATAAGAAAAGATGCATTTCAAGTGCCAAGGAAGAAGAAAGACAGGTATCTTTGAGATCTGGACCTTCCTGTACACTGACTCAATGGTGCAACCCTCAGTGCTGTTTTGGACAAGTTTCACAGAGAAACTGCTACGAAAATAATGTTGCAAAGAGCTGAATGCAATGGAATTGAGCATTAAATGAAAATGTCTAGCTCTGATAATAATTACAGTGTTTAATTGCAGAGGATTCGTTCAAATACCTTCTCACACTGATTAGCACATTTGCTTACAGATATTCAAATAAATCCAAGTGGTGTTAAAACAGGAAAATGTCCTGCACAGAAGCACTGGATTGGCTGCTTGTTTGATCAGCTTTCAGAAGGTCTGTGTGCAGCTCTACTTACTGGGCGAGTGGAGAGAAGATTCCTGAGCAGTCCCAAGGTTTTCATCAGAACATTTACATCGGAATCAGAAAGCAACTGAAACAACTGCTCTGTGCTCAGACCCCGCAGGATGTCTGACTTGATCTTCTGTTCTGCTTGAAACGCCATGTTCTGAAACAGACACACCTTTTAATGGATTTTTTTACCTGGGCTTTCACTCTTTTAGTAGACTATTCCCTACAAGAATATATCCTTCCTAAATTAATCTTGCAAAAAGGCTGTAATTTATGAGCAACTGCTACACAGTGAATTCAATTTTCACATTGTCTTACACCTGACCTGGTTATTACCTGCTTTTATTTTCCCCCTGGCATGTTACTACTGACACTACTGCTTCCTTGAATGATCTTGGCAACAAAATTAGTACTAGAACTGAAGAATTTGTTTTACTTTATGGACTAATGGGTGAAGTGCTCCAGGCTGATGCTGTTTTTCTTCTGCAGTTTGGTGGAACAACAAGGCAGATTTCAATTATGTCATTGTTAATAACAACTGACAAGTTCTACAAGGTAAGTTCCCAAGCTTTTTAAGGCACACAGTCACAAGTGGTATTTCACTGGGTGTCCTACTCACCATTAAAGCCCAAATGCCGTTCACTCGCAAGGCAAGATTTTCACTCTGGGTTAAACTACATAGAAGTTCTATGGCTCCTGATTCTAAAATAGGCTGAAAGAAGGAGGGAAAACAAGATCTTTACAACACTACTTAGACTAACTGCATATATGAAAATACTAAAAATATACTCCTTATATCTTATTCTTGAGCTTACAACATGTCCAGTGCACCCACATGAACTGGCCATGCCACACCCCATATCCATGACCATTTCAAAGTAGGTGTTATGAAAAAAAGTCAGGTTAAGGCAGCTGCTTTCTGCTATGTCTGTGTTTGTGGAGACATGGATGCACACACATTTATATGTGTATATACATCACCTCACACTGCTGCTCACACCCCACAAACACTTGACCTGCAGTCTGCTAAAAAAAGCCCCATGGGTGGCCTCATGGCCAGTGAACTGTGCTTGGCATTATTTCAGTTAATTTGCTGTCTCACAGATATGATTGAAGCCACCGACACCAACTGATAATTTGGTAATCCATAGAGCCCTGCAGGATCCCACACATAGCACAATCTTGAAAATATTTTCTGTAATTAAGAACTATTTTAGACTTGGGGAATTGTTGCACTGCTGTGGAGTGTTGATTTGTGTGTCTGATCTGTATGAAACACAGACTCTGCAGAACTGTATCCTGTACTGCTCATCAGAGAACAATAAAAACACAAGACTCAGCAAAGCCAGCATTTTCAGCATTACAGTAGCAGTAATTCTCTAAGACAATGGATCACATTGCAAATTATCAGTGTGGTTTCTTCTTGTTTATGATCTTTTTAGATAACAATGTTTTACAAGTAAAAAGGAAATGACAAAACTTCATGTCTACTTCTTTTCTTTAGAGACCAAATTAACTGTCACAGCACTGTAAGCAGATGATTTTTTTTGTTCTCAAGTTGCACAGCTCTGTAACATCACAGCTCCATAACATGTCACAAGCAATGACTGCCAATTAACAGGCTTTTATGCTAACTGACCATTGTGTAATCTCACTTCAGTCCATCCCCTCTCCCTGCTGCTGGCCAAGTACTCACCTCCTTGCTTGGAGAGAATTCCAGAAGAAGATTGCATAGCGTGGAAGATGCTACTACAAGAATTTCATTTGGAGCATTCTGTAAAACCTGCAGGCAGAGGGGAGAGAGAGGAATTCTGTTAGCACGATAATGAAGAGATCACTAAAATAGAATACCTGGAATTATGCTGTAGCTGGATATTCCAGACTTCAGGAGGTGCTTCCATGCTAGCAATGCAAACCCAGACTGATACACATCACAGGACAAGCTGGAGCAATGCATTATTTCACAAAAGTCACACTTGAGAGCTTTCAGTCCAATTTAGTAGAAATCAGTGGGGACAAGCCCTGCTCTGCAAAGGACACATATGCAGAGGAAGCTCCAGGAGCCTCTTCAACCCCTCTGTACCTCGTGCTAAGCACAACACAGCAAATTCTCTAAGGAGCATCCTCTCAGAGGAGCACAGCCTGAGTCAAGTTTTGGTCCCTTATCTCTGCCTGGATCTCCAGCAGCACCAAAACACCAACTCCTGAACCAAACATGTTCCTCACTTGGTCCCTACGGCCAACAACATCTTCTGTGCTCCAGTCATTTCACTTCTGAACAGACAAGTCAAGGTGACTTCAGGAGATTGCTATGGGTGTCAATACTGCCCAAGCCTTCAGGTATGCTAGCAGTCTGTTCTGCATCTTCAAGGTCTCAAAGATGTTGAAACTGAGAAACTGGTTTATTATGTGTGTTTATGATAGTGACATTACAGGATGAGAGATGACATATCTTACACACTTGAATCTCAATCTTGTGGAAAATTACTCTATATGACAACGTGTCTTTTTAAAGGTCTTTCTGAGCTCTTTGATTTCAACTATAGAATCTGCAATGAGATGTAAGAGGTAGAGAATCACAGGAGAAAACACAGATGTAAATTCTCTTACAGAGCTCACAGACCAAGTCTGAACCGTGCCATCCAGCCTGAGTCTGACATTAAGGGACATGTAGTGCTTGTAGTGTCCTGTGTGACCATTGAGAATAATTGAGTTTCCCTCACTGATGACAAAAAATCCCCCAAAAACAATAATGAAAAAAAGGAAACAAAAAACCAACCAAAACCAAGCACGCTTGCTGCTGTTGCCTTTTGTTGACTTATGACTCTCTTAGGAGAAGGCCCCAGGATTTTGATTTCTAGGTAATTTGTATCATGATTCTACAGCAAGGCATGCCAACTGAACAGACACCCTGTGCTCCCTGAATGGACCAGAACACTCCAGGCACTGACACCCGACTGCTCCTCACTTACCTTCATTAAAGGCTTCCATACAGCATGATCCTGAAAACTTGTCCTGAGCTGCTGGACAGAACGGGACAAACTGTGCAAACACCTGGAATGGAAGAGAAATCCTCCCTGTGAGACATGCACACTCCCATGGGCACTGCTGTACACACCCTGCTGCCCCACAGGGATTCCTGAGCTGGGAGGGAGGCAAGGAGAAACCTGGGAACAGCCAGGAGAAAACCCTGCACCTGCCCAGGATTACTGCCCCTCTCCCCCAGAAGGGCTCCCAAGAGCAGAACTGAGATCAGGGCAGCTCTCAGACAGTGACAGGAGTTCTCCCAGTGCAGCCCAGGCTGTGCAGGGACAAGGACAGGCTCACCTGACTGCAGCCAAGCGCACCTTGATGCTGGACTCGGACAGGCCGTTAACAATGCGGTCCATCATGTTCTCAGTCTCAATGATCTGCACCAAAGAACTCAGGTCAGTGCACAGCCCACAGCATCCATGGCTTGCTGGGGTTTGGCTGCAGCATCGTCAGTGTTACATATAAAAACTGCAGCTAAAACCAGCATGCCACACTCTTGTCAGATTAAGGGGAAAGTTTTACGTATCTACAGACACAATTAGGAAATAAAAAATCTATATTCTATGTTCCACTATGGCTTTTAATCATCAAGCAACAAGAGGGTGATTTATATATATAAGTATCCACCTCTCTATCTACATAAACACATAAATTACCCTTAATGTCATATTAAAACAAAAGTGAGCATGTGTGAGTGCACACAACATATACAAACTGCAGATCAGAGACAGGTTGTAGAGCTGGATATAAAAAATATCCAGTAGCTCACCTGCCATACTTAGACAAGGCCAGCACAAACACTTAAGACCAATACAAAAGGCAGTTAATACCCAGATGAATGATGGATTTTGCATAATAAATCAACTTTGGCATGTACACAGCCACTGCTTATTAAAAGCTGTGTACAAGGAGGACCTTCACTATTAACTAAAGCAACAAAACAGGAGTTTATGGTGTTGAATTCCGGAGATCTGAATGGTTCCCCACTGACAAATTCTCCTGATGTTATCTTTTCACCCTCTGTTTACCTGCCTCTTCCTTCTGCTTTTCCCTTTTAACCAGCAAACAAACTCAGAAAACATTCCTGTCTTCTGCACTTGCTACATGACATTGCAAATCCATGATTAATTTAAAAAAATGCTCCTTCCAATTATTAATTTATTAAGTTCCCCCCACTTTCCATTAATTCACATTAATTTCTAACTATGTGAGTGCCCCAAGCAACCAATCTCTTTGCTGTAATCTTTGAATCACCAACTGCTTTGTTATGACAGTGCAAGGCCTTGGTCACTTGAGAACCAGAAAACAAATTCTGACTTTGCTTATGAGCAGACTTTCCAGAGGTTTTTTTAACATTTGTCATATAATGGAATAAATGAGAACAGAGGTGTATTGTCTGTCTCAGAACACAAGTTTCAGAAATTTCTCATATGCCACAACAATATTCCTTATGAGTAGCCAAGTACCAAAAATGCTGAAGGACAACTCCTTGTGCAAGTCTAGTTCATCACTGTGAAGATGCTCACACAACTAAACTTTACTTTTGTTATACTCTGATAGCAAGACATTAATTTTTCCTCCAATTCCACGAAATATGAAAATTCCTATTAATGGAGGAGAGAGGGCTCATTTCAACCTATTAGCATCATAATGGGAAATCCCTGGGAGGGTGGGAATTGCTGCTTTCCCTGTGGCTGAGCAGGGCCCAGCAGGCTCCCTGGGCTCACCTTTTTGCGGATGTCCTCGTCGTTGGCCCCCAGCGAGGCGTAGAGCTTGAAGGCGGCCTGGCGCAGCTCGTGGGCGTGCTTCAGGTCATGGTCCAGCTGGGAACACAGCACAGGCACAGGCTCAGCCCCCAGAGCAGCTGCAGTGTCATATTCTGCTTTGTTCTACACTGCTGCTTACCCACTGTCTTGGTCTGCCACCCCAGGGGCAGCCAGAAGCACAAGGTGCTGCTCCCTGAGCTCATCACGCAATAACCAAAGTTAAGACTATCGCTCATTTCTCTACTGAGTAATAGAGAAGACAACTTTGTCTTCAATTTGAGGCCAAAACAAGGTTAGGACTCTGTCAAGACCATATTCAGGTAAAAGCTATTCTTATCTCTCAAAAGAGACTTAGAGGAACTAGCCAGAAGGAGTGAAAATACTGAGAGAGAATCAAGACAAGTTTTATCAAGAGAACTGAAGCAAAACCAGGAGCCAAAGTTGGTCTCTAAATCTCATGCCGTGTTAAGGAGGGTGAGGTTGGATATCAGGAAAAGGTTTTTCCCCCAGAGGGTGCTGGGCACTGAGCAGCCTCCCTGGGGAATGGGCACAGCCCCAGGGCTGCCAGAGCTCCAGGAGAGTTTGGACAATGCTCTCAGGGGTGCCCAGGGTGGGATTGTTGGGGTGTCTGTGCAGGGCCAGCAGCTGGACTCTATGATCCCTGGCGTCTCTTCCAGCTCAGCATATTCTACTATTTTATGATAATTAATGGGAGCACTAAAGGCATCATAAAATAGTGGTGTTTGAGATTGACCTTGCTTGGAACAGCAAATTTGGGCTCTCAGATCTCCTCATGTTCTCTGCTGAGAATAATTCTGTGACTGACTATCCTCAAAACTCAGTTCCAAAATGTTCTACCAAACAATGTAATCTTCAAAGTCTACACAAAATGCCAGGAAAATGACAGTATAAAGTAGAAAAGTGCTGAAATAAAAGAAATGTCAAAAATAAAGCTCTATGAGTAATTCTCTCCAGTGCAGCTATATTGGAGCAGAAGTATTAAAATATTATTTTATAAATATTTTAATATTATGTTATAAATATTTTAAGCAGACAAGTTCTCTGTTTGGCAGATTCCTCACTCACTCCTCACGTAGTTTTACCTTACAGGGTGCAGTTCCAAGCACTCTGTTCAAAGTCAGTACCCCGGATTCCCAGCTGGCTGCCTCTACAGACTTACTGCACACTCAGAGCACTGTCATAATATTTAGAATTGCCCCACTCACTGTTGGAACCTGATCATATTTTTGATGCTACAGCCAACATCCATTACTCCTCAATAAGCTGCTAAACTTCTTTTTGCTCAGTTTTTTATACTGTAACTAATTTTTTTTAATGTTTCATTTGCATTTTTACAGAGCATTTAAGAGGCTCTCTATGCAGAATTAACCCCATTCTATCAGGGTCAGAGAAATTACCCTGTCCCTTGGGCCAGTTTGAGAAAAAAAGCAAAGCTCTGTCATGTATTTTTTGGGCTCTTTCTAATAATCAGTTTCAGCAAGACTCCAAGGTACATCTGGTCTCTGTTTAGCCAATGTCTTGCAAGTGCAGATAACTCCTAATACGAAACAGTGCACAACATCCACATGTTTTTGTGCTTAAACACCTCTAAATTTCAGATTTTCCACAGATCTGACCTAAGAATTGAAAACAAATCTCTCTTCACATGGACTATTCATCTCTTATGAAGCTGAAATGTGCTGGTTCCTGAAGGCAAGATGTTTAAACTTAGAGGATGGGAGGACCAGATATGCACACTTTTGTGTGGTTAATGAAGTCTCCAAAGAGCAGTAACTGAGTCTTGGAGAGTACAAACATCAAGAACCAAGTCCTGCAGCACCTCTGGTCACCCTTCAATTGAGGACCTCAGGCACCACGTTGCGGCAGCAGCTCTCTGGCCACAGAGAGCAGGCACAGACTTTTTTAGACAAATCTTGGGAAGCTGTGGGAAACTTAGAGGAAAAGAATTCAAACAATTATTATCTCTCTTTCTGTAAGCATTGTTTATAGCTATGGTTCTCTAGAGTGTGGTATTGATAACCACCAATAGTGTGTGAGGAGTTTTCACTTTGAGACCAATCAGGTCTTAGGTCCTATAAGAATATGGAGGGGCTTGAGAGCTGGCTTGCAAGCAAAGCTGAGTTAATAGAAGAAATAACAATAATGATTTTTGAGTGTATCTACAGCAAGGAAGAAGACAAGGCTGTCAGCACAGAAAGCACAGAAACAGATTAGAAAAGATACATGAACATTTTTGTAAGCTAGACTACATGCATAAATAGATGTGTCTACGCGCCTTACGAAAATTCTGTCAAACTTTTGCCAATTATATTGACGTTAACTGCTTTGCACCAATGAATATAATAAGTTATTGTGATGTAGTTAATGACTTAAGATCACGCTTCTTTAAGAGTATATAAGCTGGAGAATATGCAGAATAAAAAACCTTTTTCTTCTTAGACCCTGATCATGTGTGTATGTCACATCCAGCCTAACAGTGACATAAGAACTGTAGATTTCTAACAATAAAGTGTCTTTATGGATCATGGAATCAATGCTATGTGGCACCAGACTGGGGGCCCTACCACACCAGGTTTAACCAGGTTTAAAAAGGCCCATCCTGAGCTGGTTTCTTTTTGGTTCTACCCATTCCTCAATGCCCAGAGCAGGTCAGGGAGCTCACCCTCTTGATGTCGGTGATGGCGCTGACGGAGCTGGGGTACTTGAAGTAGTCGGCCAGCATGACGATGAGGTGGTCGGTGATGCTGGCCATCCTCTGCAGCTCCACGTCTGTCTCTATCAGGTAGGCCAGAGTCTCTGCCCCCTCCACCCTCTCCTCCAGCAGTCTGTCCTTACTGCACATTCGAACCAAGCATGGCAGAGTCTGCAGAGATGAAATAAAAGGAGTTTCTAGTGTAGCTGCATTGAAACTCCAAAGAAACTCCAAAGAAATGAAACAACTGTCCTACAGCAATGCTCTGCCATTGTTCTTTAGATAAGAACTTTCACACACACACATTTCAGTGGGTTCAGACACTCCACACACAGAAGAATTGTTCAGGCATTGCTGAGTGTACAATCTCCTACTTTCACACAACCTCTCACACAGCCAAAATCATGCAATGTTTGGAAGTAAACATAGACAAAGTTTGACAAAGCCTTGTAAAAATTTTTATAAATCCCCTCAGAAGTTGATATTTTCACAGGCCTGTTCTTGCTACACACCAGAATCAAAAGTACCCAAGCTGCCCTCAAGTACTTGACCCCTCCTGCCCTTCTAGGATCCAGGATTAACTAAGGACAATGCAGTCAGAAATAATCTCAGGGTTCCTTTCCCACACACTGGCTGCCTGGAGCAGAGGGCAAGGGAGGAATACTCCTCAGCAAGCAGCATATTTGATCAACCAGAAAAGCTAACCTGGAATCCAGGTCCATTCTGCCTTCCCTGACATGCCCCCTACCTTGGTTACACCCACACAACAGTTTTGCTCCACCTTCTCTACTAAAACAGAAAAACCAATCAAGTCTTTCTTTACCAGAAGCCCAAGGAAAAGTACTTAACTCTGGACAGGCCAATTCTCCAAGAGCTGGGACTCTGCTCCCTCAAGCCTTCCCAAATATGAAAATGGACAAGGAATAACACCAAGGTTTGTGCTTGTGCAATGCCACCAAGTTCAACAGAATAACTCTGGTAAATGTTGCTCAGAGGTATGTTGTGGGGACCTGAAATAACATCTAACCATTGACTGTTCAAATGATTAAATAGATAAATACCTGATCTCCATTGCACAGGAAACAGGACTTGCCTGCATATTTTAGAAAATTAGATGTCACCTCAAAGACTGTCATTGAGGTGGTGAATCTTGCAGCTAATCCAGTGAGCCAACACACTCCCTTCTGCAGACCTGGCCTTGAGGCAGCAGGGAAGATTGTACACAGGCTCTCAAAAATTACATTCATGTGGAGTGAGAAAGAAAGAAAGAAGTGGAATTCCATGTCTAAATCACAAAGACAATGTATTTCTTAATTCTTTCCAAGGTCAAATAGCCTGAAATGAAATGAGCTATTTCTTGGAACTCAAGGGCTGGGCATTGTTAAGTCACTGGCTGCATGCACCCAAGAAACACAGATCTCATGTTTTTCAACACTAAGCAATTCCATCTGCTTAAAAACAGAGGCAAGAATTCTGACAGACACATTTTAACTGTTCCATTGGACCTACAGGTCAGTACAGTGCAATTAATGCACAAGAGTAGGGGGTTGTGTAGGGGTGTAAGATGGAAAGCCACAATGCACACCTGGCTAGCAGGTAAAAGTCTGGAAATGGACTGTAAAGATGGAATATCTAATTTTCATGGTATGGCTGGGATGTATCTAGGTTATCTGGACAGTTTCATTATTAGGATTCCAGAGAAATCATTTCCCTTCCCATCAAATCCATTATTTATCAGCCTTCTCTGCCTTTCTTAAGGGACTTTATTTTTTCCCCATGTTGCAGGCCAACCCACTACCCAAACTGAGCAATGAAAGTAAATTAAAACTATTTTGGAAATACACATTCTTGACTGGCCCCCAAATGGAGGAAGTTTGATAGCAAAGGGTCAATAACTCCTGAATGCTAAAGGGGCCATCACTTCAGCTCAGCAGAGGTTGAAGGATTTGGGGCTGGATTAAGCACAGGGACACTGTGTTATCTTGCAAGTATGAGCTCCTGGAGGAGGAATCACTGGGCTGCTTTGAACAAGGCAAAGGTTCTGTGCCTCCCTTCTCCCCTCACTTTTTTGTCTACTCTCAAGTACTACAACACATTTAATTCCACAGCCTCAAACATGAATTTGTGCTGAAGCAGTGCTCACAATGCTCAGCACTGTGCTCACAATGTTGCTTTTGCTGTGAGCTGGCCCAAGCACATCCCTTTGCAAAGGTTTGAAAGGATGGTGGTTTTTCCACAGGGCCCATGTGGAGCATGTGCAGCTCCACAGGCAGGGTCCAGCTCTCAACAGAGACCTGCCACTGGCAACAGGCCCTGCTCCCTGTTCCAGGGCAGAGCAGCTCTGGAACACACACATCCTGACCAGGGCACAGCCCAATATGGGAGATTCATGAAGGGAAGGCATTTCCAAAGGAGAAAGGTGTGAAGGAGAGTGGGGCTGGGAGAATGGAATTGTTACCCCAGTTCTCAAGGGTTGTAGGGAGAAAGGAGAACAGAGAACTGGAGTGTCAATTTGGACCAAAGCTAAGGAGGAGGGTGAGGGAGAATGATGCAGCTTGGCTCCCTCAGCTATGCAGTACCAGGTGCCAGTGCAGAACAGATGCCAATGTGCACACTGGAATGAACAGTACGTTGCACTTTCTTGCACAAAAAGACAGGAGAGGCAGGCCTTTGTCTCAGCCAACATGTAGATTTTTTATCTATCATTACTTGGGGAAAAAAAGGAAATCAGGGGGCTATTTTGTTTTAATTAAAAAAAAAAAAAAAACCACTCAGGAGAACTTAGTGCTTTGCAAGCTTTGGTGTAACAAATTTTGTGCTACCTTTTATATGAGAAAATAAGACCAGGATAAACCTACATGAGAAAACCTTTTGAACAGATAACTGTTTGAGGATCTGTCATGGTTAGCACAAAAAGAATTATTCTGTGTTTACAAGGTGGTTGAAGCAGGACACGGCTCACCTTCAGAACGATGCAGGGATCGTCCGTCCGTATTGCTCCGGCTCTGCACATGGAAGTAAGGCTGCAACAACACAACAAGACACTGTCACCTACCATGGCTTGGGTGCACTCCAGCTGCTGCACAACATCTGTCCCAATGAAACATCCTCCTGTGTTTGATTTAAATACATCACAGCTTACTGGGCCTGGGCACACAGACTCCTCCAGGTGCACTTTCTGTCAGTTTGCAGCGCAGGACCCTGGCAGGATCACTGATCAATACACACAGCACACACTGCCACAAAGGGCACAGCACCACCCTGCCTGAGCCCCACACCTGTTGTCATCTTATGGCAGGGGTTCCATCCTGCTGTCTCCTATCACAAAGGTTCCATACCTTCTTGGTGTTTCTCATGGGCAGCTCCTCAGAGCTCTGACTCTCCTTCACAAAGCAGCCACTGACTCCAGTTCCCTTCTCACCCAGCCACCCCACTCTTTTACAGCATCTTCTTCTCATTGCTTACAGCTGTGGCCTGTTAAAGCCAGGCCTGCTCCTAATCTTTGATAATTGGCCCAGTTGCAACTCCTTAGGGGTAAGACTAATTTCTACATTATTTTCTTATATTCTATCCCCCTACACACATCCAAAGTGCAAAACAACCTGCACTAAGCAAAGGTGCAACACACCCAGACCTTCCTCTAAGTACCTGCCCCTGGGTGTGCAGTCATGAACAGAGGAACACAGCTGTCTGAACACAGACACCCAGGCCCTGCCCCAGCCCAGGAGAGGTGGAATTGCTCAGCTGCCTGTCCACAGGCAAGGCTTTACACTGTGCAGAGACCAGCACACCCTCACTAACAACGAACCCAGCCAAGGCTCTGACACTGCACCAAGCCAGCATTTGGTCCTTATTAGACAACAGCTCACAGTGGATATGACAACCACAAGGTCTCACACAGCATCAGACACATTCTAAGTTCTTTGTTATGTACTTGTAAAGTGCCCCAAACTACCAGAAATGCAAAATAGTTCACCCATCAAAGAAAGTGTTTTTCTTTGAAGTGGTTTTGTTTTTACCTGCTCTGCTACAAGGCAGTGGAATGGAGCTGGAGGGGAACTGCTGTGCACCAGTTTCTCTTCTTTTAGCTTCTGAACTAACCACTGGAGCTGGGTTTCATCATGTCACAGTGGAGGTTAAAAAATGTAACTGTAACTGTATTTCAGTAAAGGTAACTTAAAACTAACATGCCTGGACCCTCAGTTGGGCAGGCTGAAGTTGTACACAGGGTCAATCAGAACTGCTCAGCTAAGGAACAGCAATGTGCTCATATAACCATGGTGTGTTTCACCACATCCCTGAGCTCCTTCCAAGGGCCCCGAGTGAGTTTTTCACCTCAGAGGCAGCAACACTGATCCTCATTCTGAGTACACCCACAATCAGAACTCTCTTAATATATTATTTCTCAGAAAGTAAGAGGTAAGACTTGAATATTAGCACAGAGAACATGTGCTAAACTTTTACTGCCCAAGCCTTGCAGCTGACAGCAGGAAACTCTTTTTCATACCTGCAGTCAGGAGGAAAGCACTCATCCTGCAGCTGCCATTTAGTCTGGTGAGACCCTACTTGCCAGGCAAAGTAGCTCTACTTCAGAAAGTAATGAAAGAAAGTAATTTTTGACTTCAGGTAACATAGGCTTGGCTTAGCTGGAAGCAATTCTGGTGATTTTAGCAGGAAAGGTTACTGCTGCACTTGTAGCTGCAGAACACTCTCCCAAGGGGCATCCTGATCCTCCCTCTGTCCCAACACTGCTGCTCAAGGGAAGGATCTTTGCTCCATTTCAATCAAGAGGTATTACCCTGAATCTTCCAAGTCTACTTCAATTGTTGAGGGAAAAGAAAGGGAACTTCTTAAAGTAGTCTTGTATGCCAGTCCATATTCAATAGAAATTATAGAGAACATTCAAGAGGAAAAAACCCTCCTAGATCTGCATTCCAAAGAGTGTAATGACAAATCAGAGCAACTGCAGATTAACTGACTGAAACTGGCAAGGTAGGGGTGAAATCTAATTTACAAGCAGAAAAAATCATAATCTATGACAATTTAAACCTACTATTCTCACTAAGAAAATGGAAGAGAGAGTCTGACTTGGAGGCAATCAGGTAGGAGATGGACCTACAGAAGAAAAAGCAGCAGGGCTTTGCAAACTCGGACTGCTGTAAAATTGAGAGCCCTAAAAAGGATGAGTGCCTGTGGACTAAATGGGAGAAACCCAATCTGAAATTGAAGACTGGTTTGTCTGGATTTCCCTGCAATTTTCTTTTGCTGCTTTTCACCACATCACTTTCTTTCATGCTTCAAAGATGAGCCAAAGTACTGCAATGCAACAGCAGAGGATGGCCCCCATTTCCTTCCATCAGCAAAGAACATCAGCAGACCTGGGAATGTCCATCTCAGAACAATCCCAACTCCAGCCTGTCTTTAAGACTTGTCAACTCCTTTATGTCTCAAGATTAGTAAAAAAATTGCTTTTAAGTATGTCATTCTCTATGTATTTTCTGACTTCTCAAAGAAACACATAAATCAATCAGAACTGAGACTGCTACAGTGCAAATAATTTAACTTGCCTTCTTCACTAAAAATTGCCTAACAAAACCAGTAAAACCAGACTGCTTGGGCCAATTGTGGTTGGAATTGAGGCTGGCAAGTCCCAAGACATACCACCTACATGGAGTGGGATTACCCAAGAACCCCCTCATAGACATCCACATCACTGAAACTGCTTTCATGAATGAGTTGGGGCATCACAACCTGGCAGCATGAGAAGAGTCACAGATCCTTTCTACCCCACCTGTTCCTCATCCAGAATCAAGAGACTTGTACTGACACAAGTGGCTGTGAAATTGTTTGGTGAACTCAGAGAACTCATTGCTCCTTGTCAAAAAAAGCCATCAAAAACTAAAATAATAATCAAGCAACGCATCAGTGACCAAACTCCTGAGTTAAACTTAATTTTAGTGGTTCATACCAATGGGTGACTTTATCTCTTGAACCCCCTGGAGTGATTAATTTCATTGCTATCAACACAAGAAAAGGAAAATGATCCTAAAGGGTGTCAATCCCAGCTTATGGAGTGAGCATAACCAGGGTGCTGCTATTACAGAACTGGGTCACATCTTGGCACTGGGTAGGAAGTCATTATGGATCTGCACACAAATGTGCCCACACCAGCAGGGAAAGCTGAAGTACAAAATTTATTAATAACATTAATTCTGCTGTATGAGCTCATGAAGCCTGAAGAACAATCTGTTTTATTTAAAACAGTTGGGTAGAGGGACTAACTCTGCTCTCCCATTATCTTGGTGTAGTCACCAACACAGCACAGCCACCAAGGATGACAGTTCAGAACTGTGCTCTGCCTGTTCAAAGCAAAACTTATCAAATCTAAGATACATGTGAAAACCCATATGGTTGAACACACATTCCTCACAAAACTGCTGCCCAGCAACATTTTTCCCTGCTTATGTAGCAAAGAGGGAAAGTTACATTATAAAATAGGGTGAGACCACTTGTTCAAGGATTCAGATAATGCAAACAATACCTTTAATTATTCCTAAGATTTTACATCCCATATTACTTTGAAACAAGGAAGAAGTTGAACAGTAAGGATTAAACTCCCTGCTATTTCCCCAGTTCCTGAAGACAATTACCATTTGGCTGACGTGAGCTGCATTTCAATGGGCTTGTCCCTTTGTAACATCTTCACAAAAATCTGTGGTAACAATTCTCCATCAACAGACACTGCAAAGAGAGAGAGCTCCAAGTCATTCTCATTCAGCCAGGCAAAAAGTGAGTGTGAAACCAGCAGGAGCAGCAGCATTGCACTCACCATTGACCAGAGTCATGGATACCTGGGGGTTCTCAAAGGCAAGAACTGAGAAGCATTTCAATGCCTGCATTCGGACCTGTGTAAAAACATAATATGAAATATCAACTCTGACTTCAAAGCAAAACTGGGCTACACAGCTGGATAGGCTTGTAGAAAACAATGTTATATAATCAACAAGAACTTGAGATGAAGAATCATGGCAGATGGAAACATCTAACTCACACCCTGATTTCTGTCATCTCCCTGTTGGAACTATCCTTCTGTAGGGTATGTGGCAAACTCTGAAGAAAACCAGCAAGGTTAAAACATGGGAACTAAACAAGAACTACTGGTCTTATTTGTAATACCTCACAAATGTGTAAAAAACAACAGAAGAATAGAAGAACACTATATAACAATGATACTTTTACTTTTCAGGACTCATAAGTACATTAGAGAACCAGAAATATGTACCCTTGAGATTTCTATTTCAAATCCTTCAAAGGTGGGCTTAATAAAATGTCTAAAGAGAGCCACCCAACTGCAGTGATTCCAAACTAATCTTAGAACAAATGTACACCCTAAGTTTTACTGCCATTACACAGCCTCAGGTACACCTAGGTGAAAAGGATGGACAAATTTCTTCATCTTGGCTCCTCCTTCTTCAGCCCAAAGTTTTGATTTAATCAATGTTTCATGGCTGCCTAGTTCCTGAAATCTTTATAACTTCTTTTTTTGCCACAGGGAAGATAACCATTATCACCTTCCCAGAGCACAGAACCCAGATCAGTTCAGGTATTAGTCTTTGACTTGGCCTTATACAGCTGCACATGTTTAAACTGTGTTCTTGTCTTCACAAGTGGAAGGACTGGGAAGGAGCTGACCCTCCTGGCCACCAAGTTACAGGTAAAGTGTGATGTCCTCTGAGGTGATGGTCCAGGATGGACTTCCAAAACACAACAGAGAAGGGAGCAGAGACTCAGGAATTCAGGGAGCACAACACACAGGCAGCTGGTGGCCCCCACACATTCCACACCCATCTATTTTTACAGGTAGGACTTCCTTTTCAGGACAGGCCACACTTGCTTCTCTTCAGCTTAACTTCTTATTCTCATTTATTGTTCAACAAATTGACCACTTGAGTTGCCAAGTGCCTGTTCTTCTTTGGAGCAATGCTAGGCAGCCCTGTTTTCATTACTGCTGCTTTAACTTTACAGTACAATAGCTCTGGTTTTGACAGAAATGGCAAGTAAAAGCAACTGTTATTCTACAAATACACATCATACCTGTTTATAGCTTTGGTTCACAGCACAGACATGGTTTTGATAATCTCCATTTGAATTCTTTTCATAAACACATGTTAAACAGAATAGATGAAATGCCTTACTTTGTAAGAGGTGGAGACCAGCAGATGTGCAATGTTCTGAACAGCTCCATGGTTAAATAAGATTGTCTGGTGATCTGGACCCTTCAAAGGAAACATAACACAGGGTTTTTTAAGACAACATGCAAGAGATTTCCCCTGTCTGCAATTTATTGTTAAATATTTAAGATACATTTCCTAACATTTACTTTGTAATCAGCTGGCATAACATATATATATAAACAGCTTCAACTTGTATTTTTATAGCATTTGCTCTTTTATGGTAATCATTTCCACTCCTTCAATAGGCAATGACATCAGCTCTCACAAATGAAGAAACATGGATAGAGAACTTCTGTTTCTGCTCTTCCTACTGGAAACAACTGAAAGCTCCTGATTTTCTCTACAAATCACATAAAATACCAGCAGTCACTAATGTCTTCCTCACTGTTAATATTAAGCATTTTCAACAATTCTAACTGCAGAAGGGAAGGGATGTCTTCTAAAACTGGTTCCAGACAGAGTGACAGTCCTTTGAGAAGAAATTCACATTTTCCCCCAATTTTTTGTTATATATTGTTTTTGTTTCAAGCATGTTTGGCCATAAATCCAGCCAGCCATCACCTATTACTGACTTCAAGATCTAAGTTGGTAATGGCTGACATGTCAGTATTTTTTCCAAAACAGCCTTTGGAATTAAACACAAATACTAAATTTTGCAGGAGAAAGGTCTAAGAACTTCTGTAGCATGACAAAGCTTGATGAGGTTGAAAAAACAACATGAAATCTCAACACTTGCAGCCCTCAGCAGTCTCCTGCCAAAGTTGGTTTTGATTTGCACATCTCTCTTTAAAAGTAGGTTCATAGCTCTGGTCATCTCTGCATTAAGCACAGGCTATGTACATTTAAATTCAGCTTACAGGATGCCACAGCATTTATCATCCCTCCATGCATCTCCTTGACTAATCTGCAAGTGAAGAAAGTCTCTTCACTCCTTAATCTCTAGTTCAAACCTGGCTGAGTAAATGGCACTCTTACACTCTGGTAGGCATCTATGACACATTATCTTCAAATCTGAGATACAGCTGAAATCAGATTCCTCTCACAGTCAAAAGAACATTTTTAGAGTATCTCTTACCTCTAAGAAAAAAGCATAAAATTACTTTCAGATGTAACATATCTGGTGCTTTAAGAGATGCTTCAGCTGCTACTGCCACCAAGAGCTTTCTACCAAAAAATGCAATTAAAACAGCATGGTTGAAGGAGGAAAACCACTTACATTGGCACACAGAAGTGGCTGAGGCAATGAGTTAAAGCCGCAGCTATGCCAGTGGTGGAGCTGAAGAACAGATATTGAAATATGTGAAAAAATGAGTGAGTTTAAAGTAGAAGAAATCATACTGCCCTAGATTTAGTAATTCCCAAGTATTAGTGACTCCTCCATGGGATGCAGGTGGCAGATTCTGTGCAAGCAGGGCAGATGCCTGTACAGAGGTGACACCTGGGTGCATCTGAGTTGCACAAGTGGAAACATTTTGTCTGTACACATGGTGTTTGCACCAACCAGCACAACCAGGGAAGCACTAATCCATAAAGAGGGACAGCTGCAAATATAAAGGTGAAAACTTGAGAATATGATGAAGCATTTCCAAGCAGTTCAGGACCCAGTTTAACAGCAAGGCTGCCTGGTTTTGTTCCACCTTGGGTACAGAGTTCCACTCCTCTGACAATGACCTTGTTCTCCAAATACAAATGACTGACATATTTCAGGAATAAACATCACTTCTTGCACAATTGTCCATCATGAAATGCCAATTTTCAAGGAAACATTAGGGTAACACAACGTAACAACTCATTCCACAATGACAAGCAGGCACTAAGTGCCTTTGTCCCTTGGGCAGGGATCCAGCAGCAGCCTAAGGTCACCCAACAAAAGAAGGCCTGGAGGAAGCTGCCTTGATTACAGGCTTTATCCTGGACCCTTCCTAAAACAAGAAATTCTACCTGCTCACACCACTTGCTCTAAAAACAAATGAACTGAGACAGAGAGACTCTTAAACAAGTTAATTTTGACTTGCACTTTCACATCCCAGGTACATCAGCCTGATTTCAGTTTACTCATTTGCTTCTATGTTGATAGAATCCTGGCTCTGTATGCTAAGAACTGCATCTGCTCCCCTGCAAATCAACACTTCCCTTGCTCAGGATGGCTCTTCTCCAGGGCAAGGCTCCCCCCCATTGATTTTAACTCTGAATGTGCAGGGAGAAGCAGCAAAAGCAGAAAGCAGCAGCAATATGCTAGGAACCCAAATGAGGGACTTCCTAGCTCTAGAGAACTGGTCTGAGCTTTCCAGGGAAAGGGAAGAGGACAAGGCAGAAACCTGAGAAACCAACAAAAATGCTGGAAAGGCAGAGAGAGAAATGGCTACAGATGTGAGCTGAGAACAGTGCAGGGACAGGGAGGGCAGGAGCTGTGATAAGTCACTGTTAGTTCAATTAATACATCTACTATGATGAGGAAAAAGAGAAATAAAAGCATCAATGCCTCTTAGAATATATGCTAAGCCTTACCTAAATACAAAGGTTTATTTATAGCAACTTATTGCCTCAGGGGAAAAAGTAAGAAAGGTTCTCCCTCTCAAAGCCTTTTGGAGGAAGATGGAGTCGTCATTTAAATGCAGTGAATGCTGAAACTTTCAGTATATATATATATATATATAATTTTTTTAAATTATATGAATGTACTTTGCCTCTTCATTGAAGTGAGAAAATCCTCTGCAAATGTATCTTCATTGTATTAGGTGCATTTTGCTCTGTCTGAAAATACAATCACTGACATTATAAACCTGAAACCCCAAAGCTAAACAAAACAGAAGGGGACATTTCAGATTTTTGCTGAACAGCTGCATTTGCTTGAGCAAGAGAATGAGTTCTTGATCAATTTAACATTTGTGATGATCTGTTTACTCAACCTCAAATATTTTTCTTTGTTATGCAGCTGTTTATTCTGCAAATGCAACCATTTCCTCACACTCATACCCATTACCCTGTCTTTCTTGTGCAGCCTGGTTTCTCTCTGTTTACACAGCCAATAACTTCTTTCCAAAAACCTGATTTTTTCCAGACATTCACTTTAAAATTTGAGAGAGATTTGGGGTTGGAGGAGGCACTCAAAATGGAATTGTGAGTTCAGAAGACCTTCCTCACTTGTGAAGTGACTGTGCATTTGCACTGTAAACAACATTTCAGAAATGCAAGCCACCAGGAATTGCTGGAGCTGCAAGGAAATAACTCCTTTGGAAAAAGATGACAATAATTGTTTTCTGTTCTCTCTCAGCCAACAGAGTTTATATTCCCAGAGCCAACCCCTGATTGTATAAACCAACTCTTTTACCATCCCATAATTAGCCCTGGGTTATTTTTCTTGTAGGCCAACATGGCCTCATTTTTCACCTGTTCAAACTCCTCAGCCTGTTAAGGAGACTTTCAAGGGCCACTTAAACAGGAGGTGCCTCACTGCTCCATTTTCGTTCCTTAAATACCAAATTTTTTTTCCACTATTAGGTATATATGTGAACTTCCATGGTCCAGTGTAGGGTTTTGTCTTCATGTTTTCTTTAAAGAGTTCCCTAAATATTAGCAGAGTTCTATCTTTATATCCCACTAAATGGACAATTTTCAATTCTCAGTTTCACATAGCAGAGGGAATGCAAAGGGATGAGTGTACATAAGTAAGAATCAAGGCAGAAGAACACAGATACTCAACAAAGGAACAATTCACAGTTCCAGAGGACTCATTGTAAGTGATAAGGTAGAATGATATTTTTCAAGGTAAATACTTATAAACTCATAAACTTAGGAACTTTCTCATTTGTTAATACACAATCTGTGATTCTTTTAACTGTTACTAAAAAGGGAAGATGCTGTAAAAAGCTCATTTCCTACCCTGAATTATTTTGATACAGTTATTGTATAACTCACTGGTACAGTAACTCCCCAAAAACTGCAACAATAAAAATCAGTGCTGTGAGGAAACTTGGAATGGGGGAAGGGAAAGACAAAAAACTATGTTTGGGGTGGGGTTGCAGCTGGTTTTAAATCAGTTTTCTCATATCAACAGAATTGCATTACATAGCAGGAATGAACATGTATCTGGATGAACCTGTGGTGATACAGCTCAGCTGAGAACAGCATTTCTTTTCCTCTCAACCAACAGCACCTCTTAGAGAACTGTCCCTGTGTTTAAAACAGGTGAAAGCAGCTGCACAACCTCTGCAAAGAGATGCTCACACTATCCTCAGACCTTCAGAGGAAAACCAGAAGTGTTCCAAGATTTATAGTGTTTAAAGTGAAGACTGATGCTTGCCCAGACTGCTGGCTTTGTTTAGCAGCCAAAGCCTATAAACCCCCCATAACTGCATCTTTTCTTGTACTGCAGAGCAGCATCTATCCACCCCAATAAATCTGTACCAAATGCAGAGCAGTACTAGCTCAGTCATTACTGGCTCAAAATTCCTGCCACAAAAGGCAGCACACACACAGTTCTTGCAGGCCACAAACACAAGTTGCATGGAGAACATGAATTGTCTTTCTTACTTTGCAGCAGTGGGAGAAGATCTGACATATGTATTCTTGTGTGTATGGAGACCTACTGAGCAGTGCCATGAGGTGGGAGATAACTGTACCATCCTGCAAACAAGGAGAAAAGAAGAGAGTGTTAACACTGGATTTCAGCACAGCTTCTCTGCAGTTTGTTACTTAAAGGAGCACTCCTGATTCTGCACTCAGTGTTCTTCCTTCCACCAAAACTTTTAAGGATACAGAACAAGATCATTAAAAGCAGTTCATTAAAAGCTGAAGGCACAAGTGACAGTTCTGAGCCAAATCCCCATGGAAAATAAATCAAAGGTCAGTGCAATTGGAAAAAATAGGAATAACAGGAATGAGACTTCTGCAATTTACCTCCACAACATTTGGGACAAAACCAATAAAAGAATGGTGGGGGGGGGAACATACCAAAATCAAACATGGCCACTGACAGGGATTAGTCCAGGAGCTGCCTTGGTGCTGTCTTCCCACCAGTGTGGCAGACTCAGCTCTTGCCCCAGCTCTGAGTCCAAGGGAGCAGGGAGGGGACACTAAAATGTGCCCATCCTGGACAGGCCACAGTCCCCTGGAACTGACTCATCATGTCCTTTGTCTGGCAGTCAAACACACACTATAGACTGCCAGTGTGTGTGACACTGGTGACAGAGAATCCCAAATAAATCAGCAAAAGAAAACCTTTACACTTCAGTGGGAGGTTCCCTAAGCCAAGGCAGGGGGTTGCAATGAGATGATCTTTAAAACTTTTCCATGATTCTGTGGCAAGTTCTCTTCTTCAAAGACATCCAGTTATTTATCTCTGTGGTAAGGTCCAAAACCATAATGTTCAAAAGCTTTCAGTTACTTTTGCCAGCACATTTTAGTGGCAGGAACTATGGTTATATTAAAAGAAACAATGGGTATTTTAGTTTGGAAAGGGATAAACTAAATTACTTCCATGAGATAAAGGGAGCTGAGCAAAGGGAAAGATTGAATGAGCCTTCCTTTCCAAAACACATGTGCTATATTGGCCCAAAAAATCTAAATCAGACTCTGTTTTACCTGCACAATGATGAATTACAACCCTCTGATTTAGAGAGAGATGAACTGAAATCAGAGCAAAACTTTCCTGCACCTCAGCTCCAGTGAGAGCACTGAAAGCAGCAGCAGCCTGACTGCTCAGTGACTGTATCTTCACACAGACACCCTGGTTATGAGAAGTTTTACTTTCCAACTACCTGGGAAATTTCCCACCACTTTTTAGTATTGTCAAAATAAACATGTGCCAGTCTCCCCTATTTGCAAAGATATTTGAGATTATACAAAGCTTTGCAGTATTTATTTAATATCTTTTACTTATGTATATACACAATTATCATACTTATTTTAGGAAGCTTTGCTGCTGACAATCTAGCCCTCCTATTCTCTACAGAAAACAATAGGACAAGAGAGCCAAGAAACACACTGAGCATAAACTCAGCTTGTTTCTACTGCTTGTTTCTCACCAACTGGAAAGGATCAACATGCAAAAGCCTCATTTGGCATCTCAGCATTCTACAGAGAGAAAGTTACTTATAAATTACTTTCTCCCAGGTACACCAGCCATATATCCATGGTCATTTCATGTTTATGTGCATAGGAAGACCAAGGGACTACCTATTTCAAGCAACGTTTTCAGGGTTTGGCCAACAGCAGCTCCATCTGATCTGCCTTTACACAGAGCCCAGAGGCAAACTTGAGAACCCAAAGGCCAGCAAGGGACTGGTTTGCTTGCAGTGCAATAGGGGACACTGAATCCCAGAATGGTCAGGCTGGAAGAGCCCAACAGCCACCTGGTCCCACCTCCCTGCTCCAGCAGGGCCATCCCAGAGCACAGGGCACAGCACTCCAGACTGGAACACCTACAGTGATGGAGACCCCACACCCTCTCTGGGCTGCCAGTTCCCAACCTCCCTGAGGGAAAGCAACACCAACTGAGAACACATCCAGGATTCCTCTGTCTTTTACTGCATTTGACCCATTAAAACAGATTCTTGTCCTTCTCTGCAAATCTTCAGCAGCTGAAGGCATCAAGCCCCATCAGGTTCAACACAACATCACAATCAGAGCTAAGAGGCTGCTCAGTTACAAAGTTCCCCTGAGACACAACCATTGAGAAGCCAGGAGGAAAGGGAGACAGAAGAAAGACACCAGGACTCACAGGCGGAAATGCTTTAACAAAGGAGCTTCAAATTGTAAGATGCAAGACCTGCAATCTCCTGCAGGGAAATCCCTGGCTATGAAACCTGAATTATTTCAAAGGATTCAAACTGCAACTATTAAAGCAGCACATCTTTGAATAAAATAATTATTCAGTAAACTCTTTTAATCCACACAGATGAATGTGCAACATCTCTCCATCTCTATCTAAGAGCAGGGAAGGAACCAACAAACACTTATTTCACATCCTCACCAGTGACATCCTTGTGCAATGGTCCATTTCACCTAAAAATCCAACAGCATTGATCACAGGAGTATTGATCACAGGAGTATTGATCACAGGAGTATTCCAGCTGCAGTTTATAGATCGGAGATTTTTGGTAAAGATCTAAGTGGACAGAAATTGAACCTCAAACTGTTGGGAAGCTCTACAAGAGAGCTACAGAAATGGGAATGAAATGGCACATGGTGTTTTCTGTTTTACTGACCAGTATGGCACTATGATCCAGTGCCTCCATGATCCTCCCCCTGGAGGGGAAGGTTTCCATATTGGATGATGAAAACCATTTAGCATTTATAAGACAGGGCTGTTCTGCCACCAGATATTGTGGCAGGGTGCTTGTGGTGCTACTGTTACTCCAACAATGTCACTGTACATATGATATAAGAGTTAATGAATCCTTGTAAACAACACAGTGACAGTCACCTGAAATTCTGCCAATACACAAAAATGTGTATTATTAGATAATTTGGACTATACAGTTAAGAAGCAACTCTTATAGACATTTTTTATACACTTTCTCATTATGTTCCATCAAATCTGAAGTGTTGTGAGTATGAAAAGATTAAAGAACTCTTGGAAAGTTCCAAGAGGGCTTCATTAATGTGTTTTTAAGAAAATTGTTCATTCTACTCTACAATTGTGCTAAAATATCCAACTTGTAAAACAATTTTGGCATGTTGGTCAGAGAAGAACCTAGAAAGAACCAAGGGATGTGTGGACATAAGTGACTTCCAACTAAATGCAAACAGTGATTAGGTGTCAATGTGAGGCTACATAATTTCACTTTTCTTCACTATTGGTATCTAAGTAACAAAGACTCTTCCTAGCAACCCTAGTGAGATGGAGTCTACACTCATTAGCTACAGTTAAAACAATGAGATTAACAAATGCATTAAAATGTTGTCTGCTAACAAAGTAGCTCCAGGCAATTTAGGACAAATACATCTATATCATATATATTGTAACAAAATTATTGTCCAAACAAACAGAACTCAGAGAGAATTAACAGTTATATCTCCCTGCTTGGATCCAAATACTCAATTTCTTCATACTCCTTTTTACATAAAATTTGTAAAGACCTATTCTTAAAACATTTCTTTTCAATTGAGGGTTGCTCTTCTTTTTCCCCAAGTCAGAGAACTGAAATGCTTCTATCCACCCAAATAATTTGAATTCAAGCTCTATAAGCTAAAACTGGTTCTTTTACAACTCTCATTTTTAGGAAGCAGCTTGGACTGAAGAACATTCAGCCTTGCTTCTGGCTCAGCCACCACAAACAGCCAGAAGGAAAGAAGGAATAAGGCATGAGAGGCTGACCCAGATTCCTGCCTTAGGAACTGTGGCTCACTGAGCTGTGGTGGAGCACGTGCACACTTGGCAGTGCAGGCTCATTGCTCATTAAACACCTGCTTATTAATCACTCTAAGATATCCTGATCCTCTCAGGTGTGCCTCCTCCCTTTACCAAGCCTGGCCAATACCAGGTGACGTCAGGTTTTTCATCCCAAACCTGCCCAGGAAGCAGGAATGCCTTTCACTCATCATTTCTAAAGACTGGGACTTCTCAAACTGATTCCTCACTCTCTCTACAGACAGAGTCTCATCCTGCTGCAGTGCCTTCACTCTCCAAACTCCTGTAAGGACAGGACTCCCAGCAGGGAATGCACCTCCTCCTGCAAGGCCAGCACTGCAGCCACAGACAGCAAGCTCCCACTGGAATTGTATCTGGGTCCCACTGAGGATGGAAAATAGAATCACAACTGAGAACATCTGTCAGGAAATACGCAGACTGCTTTCATGGGCTGGAAACATTTTCTGCCATTCCTTTGTTATCGAAAAGGTATCAGGAGTTGAAGTAACAGCAACTTGGTCAAACTGGATCTGTCTTAGTGCTTCCATCTACTCAGCAAGCCAAAACACACCCAGCTATGGTGAACTGGCTGGTTTGCATGCACAACAATCTTGGAATTTAAAGATGTCTGAACATACGTCTGCACCTCAACAGATCTCTCCCCCTGAACGCCATGTCATCCCTCATTTCCAAGTGCAGCACAGTCACTGCATGGGTCTCAGCACCAAAGCCTGCATGCTGCCTGTGCAGGAAGCCTCCATTAACAAGGACTCCTCTGGCACTGCAGGTCTGGATATAATTTGGTGTCACAGCTCAGCATCAGACCCTAAAAGCCTGCTCTTTCTGAGAGCTCAGCATTCATCCAGCTCAATGGATGGATCTGCACATTTTCTCAGTACAAACCCTAAGTTTCTACAGGAAACTGCCCAAATGTTTCCACCTCCGAAGAACTATTTTATCCTTGGAACTGAACAGAATTAATCACACAAAACTGGCAGCAGTTTATCCTTCAGGCGTCTGTCCATAAGGAAAGGCTCAAGAGGAAAGGTGCAGTTCTGACACCCAGCACTTCTGCTGGGAGAAATATTCCCAATACTGTGGGTGATGTGCACCTGTTACAAACAGAAAGGGATGTTTTAAGCTGTATTCTTTAAAGCACTTGTCTATCCTGGATTTTAACTGAGAGGTCTTCTGAAACCTCTAGAATGACTGCAGCACTCTTGGAGATGTTAAGCTAACTCCCAACACCTTGTCTTGGAAACAGTCCTGCCCAAAGTTTGAGAGAGAGCATCCTCTCTCCGCAGTCAAATCATGAAAAATTCTGGGAAAGTTTCCATGTTAGACACAACTCAAGATCCAACTTTCCAGAAGCTTTTTCCAGAACTGCTGGGCTGGAATGAAAAGCCATTGACAAACTTGGTCTCCTACCTTTCAAAACAGGACCTGAAAAGGGCAGAACTTGAGAGACCTTCAAGTGCTGCAGCTGCACAGAGATGGTGACAGTCTCCTGGAGCTGCTGGGACCAGAAACAAAGAGGGAGCAGGGTGGCTAAATGGGAACTTGGAATTCTTCCTCATGTTCTCACTGTTGGAATGTCTACCATGAAGTGTTCATTAGGCCCATAATTACTCCTTTAACTGCAAAGCCAATGTCTCAATTGCTGCCTTGTGAAACACAGCTTGCAGCAGTGTGGGCTGGGTTGTACCTTCCAAGAGATAAGAAAAGCATCTTATCAAAGGATCTGTATTCAGCTCTTTTCAGAGCATGGCTTTGGGTATTCCCACAAGAGAAGGGAAAAAAAGGATTTGCAGAAATAGGACTTTAAGTATAATCATAAAATACTTTACTTTGAGGTGTCTAACTGGAATGGGAAATGGGAAAATGGGTTTTACAGGTGAACAAAGGAGCAAGGACCCCTCACTAAATGATCATTTCCTGTAGTTATGGTTAATTCCAGGACAGCCCATTTGCCTGAAGAAGGACTGGGGGAGCAGTTGATGTCATTGCAGTGCAGCTGAGAAAGCAAAGCATGAAACACCAAATCCAGGCCTCAGGCATATTGTTCCCATGGCAGTGGTTATTTCCATGCTAATGCTGGTTCCTTCCCATTTCTGTCCATTTTTCTACCCCTTCCTCTCCCTTCAACACATCAAACCCTCCAGACAGAGAGCAATTAAAAGTCCCTATTGAGCACTGATGCCCAGGAAGAGATATGGATTGTTAATGGAGTCATCTTAAACTCCTCTCTGCATGCTGAGGGCAGGAAGCAGATGCCTCTGCACTTATCAGCTCTTAGAGACTGATTTGGGGGAATCTGGGAACATGGAGTGAAGCCAAAGAAAGACACAAAGAGGAAGCCCTTGGATCACTCTGGAGAGGTGCCTTTGGTGTTCACACATGCAATATGCATTGAGATTTTCCATGCTAAACAATCACCAAACACCTGGAAAAAAGGCAGTGAACAGTGGAGGACAAAGCTGGCTGATTGTCTATAGACACTAAATGCAAGCTGACTTGCTGAGATGGACTAGCTGGCAGATGAAATTCAGAATAGGTGTATGGTAAGATTGAGTCCATAGAAAACAAGTTTCCTACCTGTGTCTGAAATGAAAATGTAAAAATTCATTGGAAAAATGAATAGAGAACAAAACAGTTATTGCAGCAATGCATAACAAAGAGACAAAAGATAATGAAGAAAATCTGTTGACTATTAACAGCCAAACTGTAGAGAAAGTAAGACATGAGAGGCCAGCTGTGCCCTTCTCTGTAAGCATCAAGACTTCCTCAGCAAACAACAGCTCCCAGTGAGTGGGACCAGAGTGGTTCTCATTGTGGGTGCCCAGTTACCCTGAGAAGCTGGAGCTGCCCTGTGACCTCCCCCAGACTGAGGCAATGCTCCATTTTCCAAGCAGGAAGAGATTGCTGGACCACTACAGCTTTCATTCCATGGCTCACCTTACACCAGGACAAGGGAAGCTGCTGAGCTCTCCTTGCCCCTCCTTCCCAATAAGAGGCAGTGCCTGGGTTTGGGCAAACCCCAGAGACAGCAGTGCCTTCAGAGAGGGCTCTGCCCAGTCACCAACAGCCCTGCTGGCACATCTCCAGGACAAACTCAGGACTACAGCAAGTGGAGAGGCACATTTTCTATCCTCCTGTCACTTAAATGCAAATCACACATATACCAGCTAAGAGCAGAGACATTTTAGAGGTGAAGCTTTTCCACTGGAAGTACAAAAACTGAGAAAGTCCTCTCTTCAGCTGGAGAGGGAGGACTGGATAAAACTAACTTTCAGAAAGTAACTGTTGCCAGTTTAGCTCTGATAATAGGACCTCTAAATACCATTTAGAGACAGTTTTTCCTCCTTAAGACTGCACCCAAGTCTGGACATGTAGGTATTCTCTTTATCAGTGGGCTATGCTGGTGACCAGCTGATATCACACCAGCCATAAATGTTAGAGATGCCAAATGCCTTAAAGGCAGGTGAGAAGTGCTAATGCTGTTGGCTCAAACAAGGCCTTATTACTACTCCAGACAACAAGATTTTTCACTCCCACCCTCTCCACAGCCTTTAAAAAGACATAATAATCTGCTTACAACTTACTGTGTACAGCAGATCCTCTGGAGTTACAGGGCTGATGAAAATGGTGCGCAGACATCGCAGGCAAGCTTCAATAAACTTCAAATCTGGTGAGAGCAATCCTGTAAAAATGGGCACATCAAGCATTCAGTGTCAGTATCTGTTCATTTCAGTACTTTAGGAACATTTACTGACACAGATCCATTAAGGGAGGGTACCTTGCAATAAGGCTGGGATAATATGGCAGTCTAGGAGGGATTTGACATTGTTCTCTGTCCCCATGGCAAGGCTGCCCAGGACCACTGCACATTCTGTTCTCAGCTCTGTGCTTGAGGTCTCTTGCTGGAGTAAATACAGCAACCTGCAAACACAAGTATTTTTAGAGGAAAATTCATATGGAAGAGAAAATTTCAGTCTAAAAGAAAATAATCTGAATTCTGCTATGTAAAGAGGATGAAAACCTTAATAGAAAGATGAAGACTGAGCAAGAGAGTAGAGTAACACTTCATTCACAACCTTTTCACACTGTGTTCCTACACAACGTTTTCTTGGTGTAGAAAAAAACCAAGTAAAAAAATCAATTGCTACAATCTCTTTCTTAAAAACGTACTGTCACAGTACTGACATCCAGGATGGGCCTTTCAGGATAACAGGGAGATCCTAAATTTCAGTTAAAGGAAATGAGTTTGCAGTTTGAGGCTGGTGGAAAGGGAACCTTAACACCATTATGGGGATGGTTATCTTTGGCAGTGATTTCTTCAGGGTCACAACTGCAAAGTAACTCCATCACCAAGAGCAAGCATGGGGTGGGCTGAGGGTAATCTGAGTTCAGAACACTGAGAAATGATGACATAAACAAAGCAAGCCCAGGAAAGTTGTATGTGCAGAAAGGCAGCTGTATTGGAGCTAAACAGGATCACTGCAAGCCTAAAGCACATCTTGCCAATAGTGTCATTTGGGTCCCAATCAATTTGGATTCTTTCTAGAGTATCAAGAAGCAAAATACATCATCAGTGGTATGCAAAATCATCACTAAGGAAAAACAGCGCTCCCTCAATCCTGTGGAATCAGGTAACTTTGCACTACCATTACTTCTTTACAGACACATGATTTTTTTTTTTCTCTGCCCTCTAGACCAGGTAATGACAAGAAACAAAAGCTTCTGTCGTGATGTACAAACATAGTGAGAGATCCTGGCTAAAATTCATCCTGGAAAAGAAGAGAATATTGAGTTCCTGCGTGGAAAGCACAATCTCATCTACTGTTCTAACCCTGGCTGACTCCTCTGCTGTATGTGTTGGTAAATATTGATCTAATTACTAATTAAAACATGACAGTAGCAATAACCTTTTTAAAAATAGCTTTCAATAACCTAGAGGCCAATTTAGAAATTCAGCAATGCAAGAGTATTTCTTTCCATTTTCACTAGAAAGTCATGAAGACCCGCTCTGTGTCTTCCCTGTACAGACCACACCAATGGCCTTCTCTCATTATCAGGACCTTGAACAAATAACCTGTTGTTTGTATGCAGAAATGTTCAGTCACAGAACCACAGAATCATTAAAGTTGGAAAAGTCCTCTCAGATCATCAAGTCCAACCATTAACCCAGCACTGCCAAGGCCACCACTGCCCCGTGTCCCCAGATGCCACATCCACACAACTTTTAAATCCCTGCAGGGATGGGGACTCCACCACCAGTGCCCCAGGCAGCTGTGCCAGGGCTGGGCAAGCTTTTCCAGGAGGAATTTTCCCAACCTGAACCTTCCTGGCACAGCTTGAGGCTGTTCCCTCTCCTCCTGTCCCTGTTCCCTGGGAGGGACCACCCCCAGCTGTCCCCTCCTGTCAGGAGTTGTGCAGAGCCACAAGGTCCCCCCTGAGCGCCCTTTGCTCCAGGCTGAGCCCCTTCCCAGCTCCCTCAGCCTCTCCTGGTGCTCCAGCCCCTTCCCCAGCTCCGTTCCCTTCCCTGGACAGGCTCCAACCCCTCAATATCATGTCCTAAAAAGACTTCTTTCCCCAAAAGGATTTTTAAAAAATTCAAAAGCACATTAAATTCTGAAGGCTTTTCTCTTCCAAGCAAAGTAATTGCTATTTTCTTTCCCATTAACACCCCACAAGTGGGACAAATGTTACAGTTCTGCTTCTCTTAAAGAGCAAAAATTAAACACATCAACTACAATCTCAAGTCTAACATGCTTAAAATAGAAAGCCTTACCTAAAGTTTATAATTAGTGAAGATCAAAATTTAAGTTCCCATTTTGCATACAATAAGTTTCTGAAATACTAATAATATCCTTTTCTACATCTTTAAAATAACTCTGAGGTTCAGATCAGGTGTTCCACAGAGCTAGACATGTATATTGTAATATTTTCTATTTCTGTCTTTAGAAGACAGAACTGACACCAAGTAACACTGAAAATTAGGTACTCCCAAACTATAAAATTACCAAAAAGTTTAAAGTGAGGAGAATCCATGTAGTCACTAAAGATAAAACTTAATTAAGTATAATATATATTTTATGAAGTACTGTCAAGCATTTATATATACTTTATAAAGTACTGTCAAGCATTAAAGACAAAGATCCACATCCTTCTATTTTCCAAGGGAACATCCTGGACTGGTTTGTTGTTCCCAAGCTCTAGCCTGGACAAATTCAGCAAAGCTGTAATGCATTACTCCTTTACATCAATATCATCAGGATAAAAAAGAAGAAAAATGGCATTTATATGCAGGGGACAGAAGGGCAGTTATAATTTGGATTTTGGAATCTGAAAAACAAGATTAAGGTATTTTTTCATAGTTCACAAGTCCTAAGAACACAGTGTCCCTGCATAACCTGAATCCCTTATCAGCCAGCCTCTGGATTCCAAACAGCAGAAACACTGGAACAAGGCTGTGCTGGAACCACCACAACACACTTTTGTGTGCTTCAGGGGAAAACAAAAGCACAAATACACAGAAAAGGTTCTCTTAAGGTACTAACATTCTTGTTGACACTCTTCAGCCTGTGGTCCTGCAGAAAAGCTCATTACAACAAACAGGAAATTAAATAAACCTCATGGAAGGATCTTACAACATCTTCACAAGCATTTTCCACTGGTTTAAAATGCAGTATTTAGATTTAGATTAGTATTTTTAGATTAGATATTTCGATTTAGATTAGTATTTAGATTAGTAATTTTTTCAAACTTCTATAAGGCTTCTTCAGATAATTTCCACTTACATTTATATAAAATACAACTTCTGCCCTTCTAAGGGCAATTAAATGATTAAAGCTTTTTTTCTCAAGTGTCAGGAATGATATCCAGGAAATGAGGAAGGACAGGAAATCCATCCAGAGAGACACTCCAATGGACTCCATGAACAACCATGCCAAGAAACAGAAATGGGGTCAGCTGAGACATGATCACACCTGGGAAAACCATGGATTATTTTAAAGTAGAAAACTTCCAAAGGAAGCAGCTGCTGAACACAAGAGAACTCCGGTGGCTTAGCAAGGAAGAGAGCTCAGCTTCCTCTTTCCCTTAATGATGACTGAGTTGGGTGTGATGCACCAGAGTTCCACAACATAACATACATGTGCATGGTTTAAACCTCCCAATCCAGTCTGAGCACCAACCTCACAGTTACAAAGAACAGAAATGCCCTGTTTCACATTCCAGCCCATTCACAAGTTGTCACACAAATGTCTCAAGTTCCTGAAACACCTGGCAAGGAGATGAGACAGCACTTCCTCAAACCCCACAGGCAGGCACGTGGAGGAAGAGCCCAGGATAACAGTGTGTTTAAGACATCTTTTATCAAAGTATATTAATAACTAAGAGCTTTAATTGAGTCATGCTTAGCTGAACATTCATCACCAGCCCCTTGCAAAGGCGATGAATACACTATTTGGGGGATTATTGTATCTTATTCTACCTTGGGAGATGCTTGTACTCCAGTCCATTGCACGAAGGCCCAAAAGCTCTCCCCTGGAAAAGCCTGTGATGAACACAGAGATGAAAGCACTGCTGAGCTGAGTTACCCCTGCTGCCTGACAGAACATGGAATAAAGTCACTGCATGCATAGAGGTGACCTCTGAACATGCTGCAAGTCCCAGTGAGAGTCAGCTCCAAATAGTGAATGGAATTAATGGATTGAAAATAGCTCAAACAAGGCAGGAACACCAACTTTTTTTTTTCAATCTCTTCTTTTTAGTGCTAAAAAGCACTACTTTTCAGACATAACAAGAAGCAATCCCTTTCCACGGAACTTCCCAAAGACAGAACAAGCATAATTTTAAAATCCTTCAGAATAATTTCTGTACAATAATATCTAAAGTGACAAACTAAATAGCTTTAGATTCTTGCACAAGAAGACTCAAAAATGAGTGATTTTTATGATTGCTTGTCACAGAAATTTATCCTGGAGTGAATGCCAGTTTCTCTTCTGGAACCAATGGCAATTCCAAATCTCCAGAGGCTGGATCCAAGGGACCTGGGCTAACTCTACTCCCTAAAAAGCCCTACAAAGCAAAGATAACTCTTTCTGAAATATTTCCCACAGTGCAGTTTTTTAAAAGAGCCAGGTTGAGCAGTATGCAGTGTATAAGTAGGGAAGCTGGCTGCACAGAGAGCTTTTCCCTTGGGAGTAAAAGAGTCTCAGCTTGCAGCTCTAGTAATTTATCCTAATGCTCAGACATCCTCACTAACATTAATATTCCATGAGCTGTTCTATATACACCACAAAAGCTGCAGCCAGTCTGACCCTTCATGTAACTAAATCCAACTTTGGAGAGTTCCAATATCTACTGAGCTGCAAGAGGTATGGATTTGAAACTCCACATTTTTCATTGCTACAATCAAGTTCTCCCTCCCCTTCCTCTTTAATGATGTTTCACTTGGAAACAGCCCTGGCTCCCCCTGGAGCCCTGTTTACAGCAGGAATATTCCCCCAGCACTCCATGGGTTCCTGTCCTGGTTCCTATTCTGGTGGTCTCAGCTCCCCCCTTCCAAGTGAAGGCCACTGAGGGGGCTGCAGCACAGCCTCTCCTCTTGGTTACCAGATCCAAACCTCCATCCCAGTGCACCACCCCTGGCACATCTCCAGTCTGAGCTGAATTCATTCCAGTGTTTCCCCCTAAGCCCATTTCATGACCACTCAGCAAAAGATAAATACATCCTTTCTTTGCAGCCATTTATACCAGAATAGGAACACACAGCCCCTGGAACCAAACAGAGATAAATTCACACCAACAGCACTCACTTTTTAACTTCCACAGTGAATTACACTGGTTCAGTTTAAGACTATTTTTGAGACTATAAAAGCCTTTTGTTTCACAAAAAGTGTGTTAATAGGCATCACACAAAGCAACATCTTCAC